AAGACAAAACGCTTTTAGCAAGTTGAGTAGCAAAGCCGATTTGCCGGCAGCATTTGAATAAGAGGTCGCAATTTAAATAAGTCTCTTTCCGGTTCTAGAGCTCCGCGACCTGGGACATAATGTTAAAATAAACATTCTTGGTTGTTATTAAATAAAGAACTTTATCCATTTAAAGTATAGAATGAAATTTTTTACTTTTATTTTTGTCTATTTTTTATATAGAATAAGTGTGATACACGAGCACACAGTCCACCTGATGGTGAGTGGATGCTGTGGCCCATAGACATTTATCCTCGATTAAGAATCAAAATGCAGATGCGTTGTCACCCCTGAGGACTGAGGTGGAATGCCTCGTTTCCAGTAAAAAAGTGTCTCCGGTTCTCTACACTCACCATACGAAACACAGCAGCATTAAGGTGATATTTTACGTTGGTATTCTGTGAGAGCGTGGCCCTACCCCGGTCGAGCCGACCCATTCGTGCTGCAATCACATTATAGCTTAAAATAATAACAATAATATGTTCATTTGTTGAGTAATACATTAAAGATGAAATATAATGATGATAATGATGCGCCGGCCACCCCATTGCAGCCCCTCCTCGAGAAATGACTATTCTTACCACATCTCCTTCTCAGGTAAGGCGTCACCAGAGTACATGGCGCGCCCTCCTCTGCGGTCTCCAACTTTACCAGCGTAACTGTCGTCGCAGCCCATCAACACGTATGCAAAGTGAACTCGGAAAGCCCACTCGGAGTAGCCATGTGGGTTCCTCTTCGTTCCCCGCACGGCAAGGCGGGAACCGGGGGGATTGTCTATAGAAGAGTAGGTGAATGTGGTGGTGATGTGTGTGAAAAAGAAACACATCGCGCCACCAACAAGAAAGGCCAGAACAACGTCTGCCGAGCCTGCTAGTGATTATACAACGTAAAAAAAAACCCTATGGAATCAATATTAAATGGTGATAGCTTTAGTTAAGAAAACTCGACAATGAAAAAAGAATTTAATTTGCAAATTGTATGTGGTTTTATTACTTCTGCATTGGTCGGAGAGTAAGAGTATTGTCAAAGACCCCGCTATACCTACGCGCGTGTCAGTCAGAGGTAATAAAACCACATAGAAAGTACATTCAAACGTGGAGTTCTTCAATAATCTTTCACAAATTACCTGAGGCACTTAAACCACCGCAGTACGTAACATACACTTTTATTTATGAATAAATACCATTTAGGTTAAATGCTTCAGAAAAACTAACATTACTCGTGCTATTAAATGGCTGCGGAAGTGATATAGCAGGTTGCTATTGTACATGCGCCCCCTACCATCCATTACGTTAATAAACCTCGCAGGGTACAGAACAAAGACAACCCATCGTGACATTTTAATTTAAAATGAAAATTTACGCTACGCCATCTAATTATCAACAAAACATTTTGGGCGTTGAAGAAAGAAAGGTTTCACGATCTCCGGTTGGTCAGTGTTGACAAACGAAAGGAGCGGTTGTTTGTTAGTCATGCAGGTTTCCTTACTATGTTTTCCTTCACCGTCGAGCACGTGGTAAATCAGCACTTAAATTGAAATTAATAATATTATTGCCAATAATTTATTGGTGCCGGCAGGTATCGAATCTGGATTGCTCTCTCACTGTGACAGCGAGCGCTTTTGGAGAATCAATTACTAAATTCGACCCGAAAATTTAAAAAACAAACGTGGTAATAAAATGATACTAGTAACTCGCTTTTATATTTCCGCCACCAAATAACAGTGATGCATTGCTGTATTCCGATCGGGAAAGGTATGGAGAGCCAATATAATTGCAGGCTGAAAGGCATTCCATCTTAGTGCTCTGGGGTGAGAAGCCTTCTTTGTGTAAAATTGGCTGCAGGTGGCCATGGACTGCAGTAGACACTTAACATTAGGTGGAATGTATGTACTTATGTTCGATTATGAATTGAATTTAAAAAAACAATCAACATTACTACCTAGATAATATTAATAATTTATGCTTCAGAAGTGTGTTGCAGTCACAAGTTTTATTGACCGACCAAATAGGCAATATATTGAAGATGGACCAAATTATTAGTACCCGTTTTAACCGACGACGTCTCGTGCATAGATGAGTTAATATCAGGTGAGCGTAAACAAAATTATTACAGCGCCATCTATTGGACGTCATGAGATATTATTGCCAAAGTAAGGAAAATAGTATTTTTTTTATAGGATAGGGTGACAAACGAGCATACACTCCACCTGATGGTAAGTGGTACAGATGTAGATGTCTGTGGGCTGTGGACATCTACATCTGTGCTCAATAAAGAATAAAAATGCAGATGCGTTTTCACCCGTTAGGACTAAGATGGAATGCCTCTCCTCCAGTAAAAAGGATCTCCGGTTCTCTACACTCACCATACGAAACATAGCAGTATTAAGCTGCTATTTTACGCTGGCATTCTGTGAGAGCGTGGTCCTACGCTGGTCGAGCCGACCTATTCGTGCTACAACTATACTACTAATATAGCTGCAGCATGGCTCTACCATGTCTAAACTTCAGATTATCGGTCAAAACTCGCAATATCAGTACCAGTAAGTTAAAGTGCGGCTGGGGTGGCCATTGGGCCACAATAAAGCCGCGTACATTATAAGGATATAAAATATAATATTGAAGAAAATCAAAAAGAAATTCAAAAAGTATAAGTCAAAAGAAGTTTTGACTAACATTGTTGGTCAAAACCACTTCTAACCGATGTAATTTGGTCAGAATCACTATAACCCAATATTTTGCAGTTAAAAGTGGATTTGACCAACGTCCTTAGTCAAAACTGCTTTTGTCTCATTATTTAGTCTAAAGTGGTTTTGAACGGTTATGAGTTTTCACTGAAACATACACAAAAACCAGTAACACTCAAATATAATTCCTTCAATATGCTATTATTAATTACACCAAAAAAACACAACCTCAGTTTCAAATAGTAGGTATGTAAAATTTCATACCGAAATATTTATAGAAGGTACGGCATTTAAAGAAAGTCTTTTTACGACACCTACGGAACGAGATGAGGTGATAGTGTCATAACACATGGACTGTGTGCTCGTTTGTATAATTGATATAGTTATATTTAATATACTACTAAAATAATAATTCCATGTAAGCTGGATTCAAATCCACCATTTAAAAACATATAAAATTTATTTTATACAACAAAAACGATGCGGGTATTAAATATAATAAGATTGTAATAAAAATATAAAAATAACAAAAAAGCTGCATCGGCCGGGAATCGAACCCGGGCCGCCCGCGTGGCAGGCGAGCATTCTACCACTGAACCACCGATGCTTGTAAACTAGTGATAAAATTTTGATACTAATTCTGTAAGTATTTGAAAATATAATTATATATTAACATTTAACATATATATTAACTAGCACGCCAAGCAGACGTTCTGCCCTTTCCAACGACCCTTTCTATAAAAATCCTTAAATTCGCAATAAAAATTTTTGACTGTCATTTATCGGGATAAAAACTATCCTATCTCTCAAGTTGGACCAAAATGCACACAGTGTGCAAAATTTCATTAAAATCAGTTCAGTAGTTTAGGAGTCCATCGCGGACAAACAACGTGACACGTAATTTTTATATATAAAGATTACATTCTTTTCCCCCATACTTAAAAACGCAACCCTGACCTTTATTCGAAATTAGTAAAAGCAACCATGGGCTACAGTACAGTAGCCACCGTCAGATTCTTAAAAAATGGATTACGAAGTTAGATTGATGCAATTGGTTTAAAACCATGCCACAGAGCAGAGTACGACCATGCTTAGTGGCAGACTTATATTGTATAGTCTTCTTCTTTATGGGCAAAAGTCATGACATAGGCTGCAGTGGTGATCAACTATAAAATTTTCCTCTTTCACCTGACTAAACGGTTGAACATTATTTATGTATGATTATGAATAATAATTGTATAAGTACATAAAAGATTATACCTATTACGCAATAAATTCTTCAAAACGTTCTTGATATATTTTTAAAAGTTATGCAAGCAAATCTGCGAGCACAATTTTTGTCAACAAAGTCCATCCATCCATCAAAATACACATAAAGGGTAATGATACACAATATTTTCCGAATAAACATCATAATAGGTAAAGGCGGCAATCGGAAATTTATTGCGTTTATTGTGGCGCGTGATCGGTTCGGTTTCCAACTGTGATGCAAGATACCCGTGAACACTAGCGACATCTAGCGCACAATACGTTATAGAACCGTCGAATTGCCGCGTCACTTCTTTAGGCGATTAGGTTTCCTTCAATACGTATACATTACGTAGATGGTTAAAAAAACTGGATGAGCCTAAGTTAGTCTTTAATTGCGTAATTAAAGTAACGTAGAGTACAGCTTATTTACATCACTATCAGGGTGATAGACGCAGTAGGCTTTCTCTCCCTTCTGAAAGGAGAGTATAGGTTTCTGCCGCACTTCTTCAAAGTGACGCGATATTTAAATATTTTCCATTTATCAACCATCCAGGTTCTATAATATCATACAAGTTTTCTGTGTATGGAGGTTTCTTCACGATGTTTTCCTTTACCACTGAGTACGTGGTGAATAAATCGGCTCTTAATCACGCAATTTTAGCATTTCTTAATGATAAATTTTAAAAATAAATTTGCGTCTTATTTATTCTACAATCCATGTTACAACCAAAAAATATCGTCAAATCACGTCGATTAGTGGTCGATGCTCTACAAACCTATTGTTGTGTCACCACAAAGCTTACAAACGATCGCAGCAACAACCACCCGCCTCCTGACATTGTCCGATATCGTTGTCATTTGTACAACCCCTACACTATTTAAGGGAGACCTGTTAAGATTTTCCTTTAGTTAAATATGGTAATTCGAAGGAAAATATGTCCGTGATACACAGGAATATTGATTAATTAATAAACATTGAACTTTATTAAGTGATGTGAATATTTTGTTCAAAACTATATACAAAATGGAAGTGCAATCGGAACCTTTAGATTTATCAACGAAAAATGGCGGCAAAATGTCAACAATTTTAGATTTAAAATTCCTCGCGGGCTTGAACGACCACTTGGTCAAACTTTATGAAAGAGCTCACTTCGCGGATAGCTGCGAGAAGTCAACAAATTGTTTTTCTCAGCGAGGCGGTGTCAAGAATGTATTACCCTGTCAAGTTTGTTTCAAAACTTTTGACAGGCCATCACTATTAAAGCGACATATGCGCACCCATACAGGTAATTCTTCTCCTTCATAATCGACGCATAAGTCCACTGCCGGTCACAGACCTATCTCAAGCAAATATACCGCCTATAGCCGCCACTCTGGATCAAGGTTTTTTTATAGAATAAGGGTGACAAAACGAGCACACAGTCCGCCTGCTGGTAAGTGATTGCTGTGGCCCTTAGACATTTAACTCCATCTTCGATTAAGAATCAAAATGCAGATGCGTTGTCACCCCAGAGGACTAAGATGGAATGCCTCATTTCAGTTAAAAAGGGTCTTCGGTTCTCTACACTCACCATACAAAACACAGCAGTGGAACCGACCCATTCGTGTTACAACCATGATATAGCTGTAGCATGGCTCTACCACGTGACAGTTTACGGGACTTCTCGCACCTTTGGCGCATCTCCACATCGTTGGTCTAAGTATGTTTATTCTGGGGTAAAAGAGATAGCCATACGGTCATAGAATTAATAATTCTATGCATACGGCATTTCAGGTATTTACTATTTCGGCATACGGTCAATTTCTGATATTTGCTATTATCGGCTTTTGGGACACCCATGGGAGTGAATAGCGTGGCGGATTTCAAATCATATCTCACGGATTTTTAAATCTTTATAAGTATATTATAATTCTTCTGTACCTACGTGTCCTTATCACTGAACGCCTAAACGGATGAAGGATTTTGATGAAACTTTTTGTGTTTAAGTTTCCCTGAATAGTTGAATGATTAACAATTGGTCCCAATAGGTGGCGCTGTTGTCGAGATCCAGATATCACCCGTGCGAAGCCGAGGCAGATCGCTAGTTACATATAAATTTTAATATGCGTTATGAGAAATACAAATCTCAAAATAGTTAAGTCACTCCTCAGTCGTACTTTTGTCTTTGTTTAACTTGAAAATAAGAATCGACTCACATAATATATAAAACAAATAATAAACATTGACTTGAACAAGAAATTTGTTCCAGGCGAGAAACCGCACGTGTGCAGCGTTTGCAGCAAGGGTTTCAGCACGTCAAGTTCACTGAACACGCATAGGAGAATACACACAGGTATAAAACAATAATTATGTTATTGTATAATTGGTATCTACTTCCAGAAGCAAACCGCATTGTTCACCAGGTAATTTTCTTGCTGACATAGCGCCGTATGTGGTTCTTTTTAATATACCTACCTACAAGACAACACCAAAATATAAAGCCAACATTTACTCCACGTTCACAATGGTTATTATATTACATTTTACACTATATTAATTTAATATATTATATTGACTTAATAAGTATTAAGAGGTACTCAAAGGAGAAATATAGTTAGGAGGTATTGAAATTTATTATTTACAAGGTTATAGATGTCATGTAGTGGCGGTGTACAAATATCCAGTACCCCATATCGTCCCATGGGAGTCCTAAGAGGCGACAAAAGAAAACTGAAATAGGAGATAGGCAGTAGCATCCTCCTGATAATAATTTAAAATAATAAAAACCTGCGGTTGTCAAACCAACTGCCAACTATTGCAAAATCCTACCTACGAAACAATGTATGGGGGAGGCCTATGTTCAGCAGTGGACTTTTATAGGCTTTTTTATATAGGATAGGGTGACAAACGAGTACACAGTCCACCTGATGGTAAGTGGTTGCTGTGGCCCATAGACATCTACATCTATCTTCGTTTGCGAATTAAAGTGCAGATGTGTTATTAGCCGTGAGGTATAACATAGAATGCCGCTTTTCATGAATGCTGCATAGACATCTACATTTATTCTCAATAATATAACAGCAGCGTGATTCTACACCTTCTTATTTCACTTCTTCGTTCATCGTCAGCCCATCACAGTTCGTTATTTAAACATGGACCATTGCTGTGTCAAAATAATTTGTGTTAATTGCTAACCTTAATGGGCGGATTGCCTTATATACATAATATATGCTTTAACTTACGTAGGTGAAAAGCCACACAAATGTCCGGAGTGCGGGAAATGCTTTACGGCCAGCTCCAATCTGTACTATCATCGCATGACGCATACCAAAGTAAGTAGAAACGAACGAATTTATATATTTTTTTAATCCTCCTTGAGTTACAGATCCTAAACTCTGAAACTGACCCGAGTAAATAATACCAGGTGTTAAGAATCCTGTCTGTCTAGGAATCTGTGTCACCTACTTTTATTTTTCTTTACCTATTTTATCGACAAGCAGCGGCGCAACCCCTTCTGTCTGGAGTCGTATGGGTAATAATAATACCAAGAAACTAAGACATCTCACATAAATAATAATTATAACTTATTAACAACGAAAAACCGACTTTAAATAGCGAAAAGAGAAGTTATTAATTTGCTACCGCTGCTTAGTAGGTCCCCTAATTTTTTCTCCAAATTTATATTTGGACAAACCTTGAAGTATAACCTATTTATTTTAAAAAAAGAATCATGTAAATTGGTTCACAATTGCGAAGATATCCTGTAACACACAAAAAAAACATACACTCGAATGGGCATCCACGAATTTTTCTGCCACCAGGGCGGCGCCACTAGAAAGTGAGATAAAATATTTTACTGATTTCATAGCGGGAAAGTTATTTTTTTTTTCGGAAAATGTAAGTTATTGTTTTTTATGTAGCTATATTTCATATTAATAACATTAAAATAAATAAACCAAACGACAGATATTCATAAAAGTAGAAAATTTAAAAAAAAAAGTTAAAATTGTGGAAAAAAATTAAAGAGAGAACCACTGACTCATTGTTTTGTGTATTAATATAATACTCTAGAAACTGATAAACTTTTATCAAAAAACAACTTCTCAATCAAATTACATTGTGTAACAAAAAATTTTACCTCAGTGTCAACTAGCGATATCTGGTGAGCAGATAATTATTAGCCCTCATTGAGAACCTCCTCCTTCCATTTTGAAGTCGGATAACATTACTCTTCTTCTGTAGTACTCAGGAAATAGAAAGATAATTTTTTCATTTAATTATATTCGCTTCGGAAATTGCCTCTATCCCAAGTAGAAACCAACATGTAAATCGGCAAACTATTTAAAAATTAAAAATTGTGTACAGCCGACTTCAATATAAGTTATTAAGAATAACTCAAAAACTATTGGTCTGACCTTGATCAAATTCATATGGGACTATACGAGAAGTACCAGCTTTCAAATAAAAAAGAGTCATCGAAATTGGTTCACCCAGTAAAAAGTTATGAGGTAACACATAAAAAAAACAACATACAGTCGAATTGAGTACAGTCTTCTTTTTCGAAGTCGGCAGAAAAATAGAAAACACTGGAATTTGTATTAAAATTTTTAAATTAAACGCGCTGTCGACGTCGGGAATTAAAAAATTTAATATTAAAGGCAATAAAATCTGTATAATTAGTTTTATTCAATGTGTAGTATTCGCGTTAATATTATGTATTATATAATAAAGGATTTATTATTTAGTATTATAATAATATTAATTATACAAATCATGACTAGACTTGCAACGAATATTCTGGTATTATTCGGTATCCGGTCTATTCGGTTACTTTTATCCTATTCTTCGAATACCGAATATCTAGGTAGTATGCGGCCGAATACCGAATACTTAAGTAAGAGGTTTTATTGTAGTCAGACAAAATTGGTAAAATGAAAATATTCATTTATTTTATAATTTCTTTTTTCTTGTAACCATTGAAGTAGTCATAGGTATATAATCAACTTCCATATTATAAAAGATAAATGTCTATGCACTCGAATTATCGTAATTAAAGTGGGAGATAATAGTATATAAAGACTATTTTTTTTTTCATTTTCAGACAGTAGCTTATTCCTTTTCTTCTTGTAGACAATTCCAGCTTCAGAGAATAGACGCTCTGAAGAATAAATATTACTTCTTTAGCGGCCAAATAGATTTACCTAATATTCGGCTATTCAGCCAGGAAGTCCATATATTTGGTATTCGGCGTGTGACCGAATGAGACGAAGACTTATGCATAATGACTGATGCTGAATTATTATCATACAATCCGGAACCTATATATTAACCGTATGTGTGATTAATTATTGTGAATCCAGCTGACATTCCAGCTTCTAACATAAGATCAATAACTTAGAAAATCGGACTATACATACGGTTATGACAAAATATTATTACGGATGCATTAAAACCATGATTTAATTTGCACTTCCAGAACAAGCCGCACAAGTGCGGGCGCTGCCCGCGCTCGTTCCCCACGCCCGGCGAGCTGCGCGCGCACGCCGCGGCGCACGCCGGCCTCGCCAGACCGCTCGCGCGACAACTCGCCGGACAACTTGCCACACAAATCGTTAGCACCAGTTTATACCCATTTGGTGTAGCGCCTGCTTTATCCAAGCGCCAAATTAATGCCGCTAATTATATTTAGGAAGCCAGTAGTAGTACCTATTCGTCGTTATTCGAGCGCCTAAAGACGGTACGCCCCCCCCCCCCCCCCCTCTACCATCACCGAAATATAAATTGCCTACCTTAAAGAGTGACGTAGACACAAAACCACGACCTGTGTGTGGATTTTTGTTTCTAGGTTACCTAATAGTTGTAATTACTCCTAATAATAAAAGTTTATTCTGTGACACTAGTATTTAATTCTTCTTTTAATTCTAAACACTACCTACACCTACCGAAACAAGAAACTCCGTGCATAGCTAGTTATCTTTATATAATATTTAATTGATTGTGTATAATTATACGTGGTAGAGCCACACTGCAGCTATAATGGTTGTAGCACGAATGAGTCGGCTCGACCGGGGAAGGACCACCGTCTCACAGAATACCAGCGTAAAATAGCAGCTTGACATTGCTGTGTTTCGTATGGTGAGTGTAGAGAACCGGAGACCCATTTTACTGGGAATGACACATAATTATATATGTACTCCTCAAAGTCGGTTCTAAACATACGAATATTGAGTGTATTCGTGTTTTTACCCAAAAATTTTAATGCTCTTATGCATATAATTGACCAAGGTCAACTTGCCTAAGTGCCATATTCGTGAATTCGAATCAAAGTATCTGTAGTGCAAATGATACCATTACGAATTCACTAAAGCCTTTGATCAAGTAAACTATACGTCACATTCACATTAATTAAATAACAACTTTAAAATTTATTGAAATAAAATATGTAGCTTATTCAGATATATGCGTTGAATGACAATGACTACAACAACCACGATCTCACAGAAAATATACTAGCGTAAAATAGCAGCGTAATGCTGCTGTGTTTTATATGGTGAGTGTAGAAAACCGGAGACCCTTTTTACTGGATACAAGGCATTTCATCTTAGTTTTCAGGAGTGACAACGCATCTGAATTTTTTTTCTTAATCGAGGATAGATGTAGATGTCTATGGGCCACAACATCTACTTACCATCAGGTGGACTGCGTGTTTGTTTGTCCTTATTCTATATAAAAAAAAATTGGTAAGATGCCCCGTAAGTATATTTTTGTAGAAACGAATGATCAAGTTTTTTCTTTGTTTCTTTAATCAGATGAATAATAAACTAATAAATAGTTTTAAGGTGTTTTATTTTTCACTTTCTACATTTTCTTTAATGTCGTCCTCTTTCTTTTGCTTCTTTGCATTTGCGTCTACTTCTTCGCTTTCTTCAATTTTTCGTTTCTCAGCTCTACTATCATCCGGTGTATCTTCTTTTTCATTAACATCATCCTGTTTCAGCTCATCGTTATTTTCCTCTTGCACATTCATATCTTCTCTTTCATCTTCCTTTTCGTCTTCTTTTTCGTCTTCTTTCTCGTCTTCCAGTTTTCCTTTTTCATCTTTCTTTTCTTGTTTGTCATTTCCTTTGTCAGTCGCGTCTTTAGATTTGCTCTTGAAATAGTTATTCTGCTGAGCTTGGTTATCATTGGAGGTATCCACTTTGAGGAGTTCGCGCAGAGCCATCGTGGCGTAAGAACTTGCTGGTAACGACATTGTTAACAGAAACGCTTTGAATTTACCATCTAGAAATTAAAAATTTTGACATTTTAATATGGATTATTAAGCATATGTAGTAAGAAAAGTTAAACAAAGTAATTTAACATTTTGATTTAAGATACCAAAAAGGTGTTATTAAGAAAATACATAACAAAATGTAAACAATAATCGATTACACAAATGAAATGTGTTATCGATTATTGTTTTCCTAGGTAAAACACCTAGTATAGTAACCTATACTAGTGTTATAAAATATAATATAATAGACTACTTTAGATACATATTACCACAGATCACCAATGAAATATAAGTGACAATTGTATAAATTAAGAATTTGTCTGCTAAGATTTGCATTTTTTTACATTAGGAAGAAATATTAATTGACAAACGTATAAACAACAAAAGACATTTTTTTAAATATAGAAAGCGACAAATGTATTTACCCTTCTTACGTCCACCTCATAGGAATTGGCTATTTCAGATCATAGTCATCTTTTTTTTCATAGGATACGAGTGAGAAGCGAAAACACAGTCTACTTGATGGGGTGACACGCGCCAGTGTGTGTGTGTGTGTGTGTGTGTGTGTGTGTGTGTACGCACCTTAGCGCTCGCCGGTGTCGGTGTGTGTGTGTGTGTGTGTGTGTGTGTGTGTGTGTGTGTGTGTGTGTGTGTACGCACCTTCGCGCTCGCCGGTGTCGGTGTGTCCGTGCAGCTGCTGCAGGTCGGACAGCAGCAGGTCGCAGTACGGCTCGTCGTAGCGCACCACGCGCCAGCTCATGTCGCGCGGCCGCACCACCACGTGCCGGTACGCGCCCGCCATGCTGAACGACCTGCCACCGATTACAATACACTACCACCCGTTGCCACGTCACGTGGTGGAGCGACGTTGCAGCTATTATGGTTACAGCTCCACAATGACAAAGAAAATAAACGGAGCGCGTACGTTTCAAGTGATAGAAAACCCAAACAAAAACCGTACTAAATACACATATTACTTGCGCAGATAAGGACTGGGATTATAAATGGTGTCGCAGCCGACTCAAAGCCGCGCTAACGACCATAAAAAAAATCACACGTTGCCTAAACGTTTTCTGCCTTTTATTGCTTCCAGCACAAGTAACAGAAATTAACAGTTATATTATTATTTATATACTTTTTTTATATTATTCTGAACCAGCTCTTAACTACAATCCCACCTGATGTTAAGTGGTGATGTAGCCTAATATGGTGAAGCGCACTGATTTAACAAAAACCTATTCACTCTTGCCTTGAAGACATCCACATTATATTCGGATGAAAACACAGATGCTGACAACTTACTCCACTCCTTTGCTGTACGCATGATGAACGATGTAACAAACAGTCTGGTTCAAATGTGTGGCAAGTCAACAACGAAGGGGTGGAGACTGGCCGAACGTCTGGTTGTCTGATGGTGGAAGGGAAACAGAGGAATTAAATTATGCAATTGCTGCGCACACTCTGCGAAATGCCACCTGTAGAAGACCGAAAGGCTGGCTACTTGACGCCTGTGTTCGAGACTGGAAAGATTGGTTTTAATCAAAGTAGGATCACCAATAAGCCTCTCAGCACGTCTTTCCATTGAGTCCAAAGCTGCTAGGTGGCATTTTGCAGCACCAGCCCATATATGGCAGCAATACTCCATGCACGACCGGACTTGGGCTTTATATAAAGTAAGCAGCTGTCCCGGCGTGAAGTATCGCCGCTCCTTTGCAAGGACCCCTAGCTTCCTTGCAGCTGCTTTGGACTCAATGAACCGCCTGAAGTTCATATTTGAGGATATCTTAACCCCCAACAACTGAAGCCGGTCGGTGTACTCCAGTTATACATTTCGGAAAGAAGAAGCCAAGAAGAGCTGGCTCCTTTTTGCAGTGAAGAGACACGCTTGTGTTTTGGAGGCGTTGAATTTCACAAGATTGGCATCGCCCCATTCGGAGACTGCCTGTATTGTGAGATTCACACACTCTACCATAGTTTCTCTTTCGGACTGGATTTGAGCTCGACTGGCCCGAGGAATTGGTTGGTATCTCTCCACAACTGTGCTATCATCTGCATATCCATAGATATCGGGCATAAGCAGGTCATTAATATGCAGCAGGAAGAGAGTTGCGGAGAGGACGGACCACTGAGGAACATCTGCGTTAGTCGGAACAGGCTCGGATGAGCAGCCATCGACGACGACCCGGAGAGACCGCTCACTCAGAAAGTACTTTACCCAGTCAAGCACACCAGGGGATAAGTCGTACGCTGGAAGCTTACCCAAAAGGCTAGTGTGCCAAACTCTGTCAAAGGCCTTCGAGACATCAAGGGAAACAGCAAGTGCTTCCCCGCTGCTCTCGAGTGCCTCGCCCCATACGTGTGTGGCATACGCTAGAAGGTCTCCGGCAGCTGTCATTCTGTTCTAGGTATGCCGTTAAGCGGGCGTTCAATATACGCTCCATAATCTGCAGAGTATGGAGGTAATTGAGATTGGCCGATAATTGGCAGGGTCGGCATGGCTGCCTTTTTCTGGTAGACTCCACGTTGGCCAGCTTCCAGAATTTTGGCATTACTCCAGTCTTAAATGAGAAGCGGAACAAGCGTGTCAGCACAGAAGATAACTTAGGTGCACAAGCCATTATAACTATAGCTGGTATACCATCTGGTCCACTAGCTTTATTCACGTCTAGACATCGCAAGGTTTTAAGAACCTCCTTATTTGTGATACGGACCTCGGACATAGAGGTCCCGCAGTGAGGTAATTTAGGTGGAACATTGTTGCTACTGTCCAGACGTGAATTGTAGGCAAAGAGAGACGGGAACAAGTCGGCTTTCTCTTTAGCTGTGTGCGCCAGTGTGCAATACGGTTTTACCAGCGGAGGTAGTGTAGGCCGACAGAAATTTGTCTCGACCGCTTTGGCGAGAGACCAAAAAGCTGTAGGCAGGGAGTTTTGCGCCAATACGTTTAATGCGATCGAGACTAGCTTTCCGTAATGCTTTTTTGTAGGACTTGGCGTCCTGGTTGAAAGTTCTCTTCTTGGAGATAATATCCGGAGCTTTGCGGTTTCGAGCGTCAACCCAGGATAGGTACGCTATTTAGCGTAGCATTTGCTTGCGCTTATCAGCTTGGGCGCATTCAGCGTTAAGCCATGGGCGGAGCTTTGCTACTGGTGGGAGCGTCAGAGAAGGGAATAAAAAACTCCATATCTTGACGCAACACAACGGGTATCGCATCCGCGTAGCTGGACGGATCCGCAGAAGAGAAACAGACCTCCCGCCAAAGATAGGATGCAAAAAAGTATCGCATCTCATCCCAATCAGCTGACTTATACCGCCATATTCGTCGCACACCTTGGGACTCGTAATCGGGTGGAGAATATGACGATACAGATTTCACCAGACAGTGGTTAGATGTTCCCAAAGGGGAGGTAACCTGTACTTCATACCTGTCTGGTTCAGTAGTCAGCACGAGGTTCAAGCAATTGGCTGTGTGAACGTCTACATCGGGTACCCTAGTCGTTTCCTTTACCAGCTGGGAAAGACTATGCGTCAAGGCAAAATTCCACGCTTCTCTTCCAGCATGGTCGGTCTTCTAGTATTGGGAACAGACAGTCTTGGTGACAAGGGTTGAAGTCCCCCAGAAAGGCCAGTTGTGCAGAAGGATACCGATTTAGGGCCACATCAGCAGCCTCACTAAGGTGATCAAATATTCGTGTTGTCTCCTGATCACCGCTGTGCGAGCATTAGACACAAGCATAAAGGATTTTATAAATACCTTTATCTACCATTACCCAGATTTTCGAAAAAGTGTGGTCTTCAAGGTGACGGAGACGCTGGAAGCAGATGTCATTGCGGACGTACACACAGACTCCGGCACGTAGATGGTATTTGTGCTACAGAGAATCCAGGATAGTCAAGGTACGCCGCATTCATTGGACATCCAATTTGAGTCACCGTCAAAAGTAGGTGCGGCTTCTCAGTCTCAAGATGGTGATGGACTGCGCTGAGATTAGATTGCAATCCTCGAATATTAGTGAGGTGCATTTATAGTGAGAGGACGTGCAACCGCTATTTAGCCATACTTTTCTTTTTACGATACATATTGGGAGTAAAGAGTGAATAAGGATGAAGAGTGGCAGTTGAACGAGCCGTTGCATTAGCAACCAAACGAAACTATCAAAGCTACTGCACCCGTGGGAACTTGATCTGGAGTCTGCGGGGACGCCCGAACCCCGCCAGAGATCGCCATCGGGTTCTCTCGCCCGGTCGCTAACCGGCACGATGGAGCCACCCTGCGATTTTTCGCTAGAAGGCGGGTGCCTTTCATGAGTAGCTAATTCACTAATTGGGTCCCCAACTACCTGCGGTCAGCCAGCGGAACACCGTGCTTTGGATCCCGCTACCCTCCACGATCAAGCCCCCGACACGGCAACAACTGACGCTTCGCACCCGGTTCACACACACAACGCTAATGTCCAGACCCGTTCTCCATATGGCTTCACCAAGCATCATGCCGGAACACGATAACGTCATTTGGCGACAAGACTTTGCATTGGTGGGTGGTCACAGAAAAGCAAGCTGCCGAACCCTTCTACCGGAATTGATGCTGCTCGTTTGGCACTACCCGGGGGACACGTGTAGGGAGTCAGATTTCCTACTGATGCGAGCAGCCTCTTTTAAGTATTAAATTATTTTATTTAATAGCCTCAACAATGAGATTACTTTATTATTTATATATTGATTTCCCTCCCGCCGTCCTATTATAACATCCAGTTAATAATTTTATTACAAAATTCAACTAATTCACTAATCAGATTATTTCAATTACTTAAATTTCCAAATAAGGCAACATAATTATATAAATTAATATAATATCGCTATTTCTAATACTTTATTGTACAAAAGTTTTCTACCAGCCAACCGAAAAGTTAATGGGAGAAGTGTATACTGCCGTGAATTAGGGTGAAAAACCTAAAATTTATAAATTTCACACATACATACACACGCAAACATGCAGATTATACTGATTTAAATAATTCATAATTCATAATCTTTATTGCAATATGTACATAAGAATATAATAGATTATATTATATTTAATATGTTTATATATTTTTATGAATTTATATTATGTATACAATAATGTAGCGCGCCACTATTAATGTATTGTACATGGCAACACTAGTTAACACTAGCGCCCTCTAGTATCGAGTAGCAGAACTAGGAGAGGCAAGATCCTACTAGAAATTTCGGGACCGATATGTACTCGAACATTCTAGATGTTTCTACAGTAGAAGGTTCTGGAAACTATCTTAGGCCCTATATAAAGTCGGTATAGACCACGACCGAGGGCAGTGATGAGTTGGCGATACAAGCGAATACTTCGAAGCGATACAACTGCGAACTAAAGTGATCAGTAGTATAATTGTTTTATTATTAGTGTGGTTTTGAGTTGTCATTAGTGTTCTGTAGTTAGTGACAATTTTGGTAATTCACTCGGCAGTTTTAATTGTCTCGAACCCTAAGCTCGAAACAATTGGTGTCAGAAGTGGGATCAAATCATGCCGATTTTACCTAAAGACGACACGGAGGGTATTCATACCCGAAGTCAACGCCAACAGGAAACGAACCAGAGACGATTTGGTGGTGCAACGTCGCAGACGGCCAGCGAGGGCTAGCTGCCGACTACGGAGGCCGGTCTGTCAGCAGCTTCTGCATCTGCAGCATCTGACTTAGGTGCTCTGATGATGATGCTGCAGGAGCAGGCCCGCCGACAGAAGGAACAGACCCGCCAATGGGAGGAACAGGCCCGTCGGTTGGAAGAGCAACTGCAGCGCGGTATGGAAGAGCAGATGCTCCTCAGGAAGGACCTTCATGCTACTTTCGGGAAAGAGATAAGGGAGGTCAAGGATAGGGTTGCTCGACATTACAACCGCCTGTCGGAAGCTGAAACCCGAATCAAGCAAGTGAACAATCGGGTTGACAACGTGATGGCTGACATGAAGAAAACGCTAGACGATCTCAAACTTGGGGATGGAATTACAGCTCCCGTGGTAGCTACAAAACCTTCGCTACGTGGATTCAAAGTGCCGCCGTTCGACGAGACTTCTTCCTGGTCGGCCTACAAAATCCAGTTCGAGGCTGGTATGAAGCCGAACGGCTGGAATAAAAGTCAGGCCATGACTGCTCTTACCCTAGGCCTGCGTGACCAGGCCTTAACTGTTCTGGAAGCTCTCGGTAAGAAAGTGACTTACGAGCAGCTCTTTGAGGCATTGGAGGCGAGATATGGCGATGCTCTCCTGGAACACGTCAATCTTGTGCAGCTCGCGTGCAACGCAGCAACGAAAACCTGCAGCAGTGGACCCTTGAGGTAAAGAAGCTGGTTCGAAAAGCATACCAGTCTGTACCTGCGCTCATTGTAGGGAACTTGGTGCAGACATTGATCGACTGCATTTGCGACTCAGCTGCTGTGAGGCTCGGGAACCACGAGACGCTTAAGGACGCGTTGGCCCATGCACTAGAGGTGGAAGCCGTGCGACAGGATCATCGTTCCTATCGAGTCAGGGAGGTTGCAGCAGCCACAGTTCGCGACCGCAATAAAGGATACAGCCCTAGGTGCTACGGCTATGGGGAAAGGATCCATCTTCGATCCAGCTGCCCTAAACGAACAGTAGAAAGGAAAGGTGATCGATCTCAGGAGGGTAAGGAAGTGGTATCTGTGAGGATGCTCAGGACAAACCAGCTCAGCAATGAGTGGAAGGGCAGCCTACAACATGCACAGCAGGAAGATTCGGACATCAAGCCAATTCTGGAATGGGTGAAGGCCAGTGCTCCTAGGCCCTAATGGAGCGATGTCTCAGCGATGAGTTCGGCCACAAAAAGCTATTGAGCCCAATGGGACAGCTTGCTGATTCAGGATGGAGTCCTGTGCCGTAAATGGCAAAATGGTCGGGGAGACAGTTGTAATTTGCAAATGGTTGTCCCTAAGCCTAAAGTACCGGATGTTCTACAACTGTACCATAATGGTTGTTCAGGAGGCCACCTGGGAGTTAAACGAACTCTACTGAAGATCCGAGAACGGTTTTACTGGGTCCAGTGTCGTGACGATGTCGAGGACTGGTGCCTCAAATGTACAAGTTGTGCGGCTGTAAAGGGACCTCAAACTCGTAGTAGAGGCGCATTGAAATTGTACAATGTTGGTGAACCATGGGAGTGGTATGCTTGGGTTTAGTGTTAATTTTATTAATTACAGGATCCCAAACAGGTGGCAGGCAATCACTTCCCGGAACGTCTGCAGTTTGTGATCATATCCTAGACGGCCCCCGCCATTACATTAGATTTGATAAGCCACAAATTCTCGCGAAAGAACATCGATTCCTGCCAAGGATGATACGTGATGCTGTTGAAATTAAAAAACACCATAATTTCAATAGAGAGGGAGGCTAGGTACTAGCACCTGCTTGGGATCCTGTAATTAATAAAATTAAAACTAAACCCAAGCATACCACTGCAAGACTTCAAGACACAGTAAGTTCATTCTGCATAGATCGGACCAAAATTAATAATTAAAAAAGCTGAAGGTACTCCGGGTTAACTCTGAAATCGGGACGTCAATCACCTCAGTCTCCCGTGACCATGGGTGCTGTAAAGCACCCGAAACGTCGGGATTTAATAAAAATAAGTTAATTAAACGCGATAGAATCCGTAAAAGTAGTTTTATTTAATGTGTTCGCGTAAATATAAGAAATGAATAATTATAATATATAAATAAAGTGTCAGATGAGCCTAAGTAATGTTCTTTTTCTTGTTCAGTGTTGAAACAGCTAGACTAGTTTACTTCAGCTACTTCCATAGCATAATGTCGTATGGTATTTTGCTATGGGGACACGCAGCTGACACTGAAATTATATTTGTTTTGCAGAAGAGGGCCATAAGAGCAATTTATGATTTAAAGCCTAAAGAGTCGCTGCGACAAAAATTTAAGGAAATTAATATATTAACTTTGGCCTCTCAATACATTTATGAAAATGTAATGTACGTACACAAAAATAAAAGTAGTTTTACAAAAATAAGTGATATTCATTCTGTAAATACTAGGAACAGACACAAGCTAGTAGTACCAGTTACTCGACTCCATCGAGTCAGTAATTCATTCTTGGGGCGATGTATACGCTTTTACAACAAAATTCCAGAAAATATACAAAGTTTGACCTGTTCAAAGTTCAAAAACTTTATTAAACTAAGTTTGTATAAAAAGGGTTATTATAATATTAAGGAATTTATGGATGATCATAACCCCTGGAAATGAGGTGATCGCTACCAAGCTATTTCTAATTTGTTGTGTTGTTAATTTGTGTAACATCATGATTGTAAGCTGTTATTTAAAAAAAAAAGTCCCGCTGGGTTTCTTGCTGGTTCTTCCCAGGACAGAGGTTTTTTCCGAACCAGTGGTAATCAAACAAAAGAGTGACTTTCAATAAGTATTATTTATAATCTATATTGAATAAAAAAGTTTCTGTTTCTGTTGTACTTTTGTTTTAAAAATCCACTTGTTAGGGGATTTTCTTATTGGAAGCGCATTTCAAAGTCGTACAGCAGTAACAGCGAAAGTTTGAGAGGAAACCAGTACGGTGAGAGGGAATTTGCAATACGAAATTGTTATGAGACCAATGTTTGCAATCATGGGTAGAACCCAGGTAAAACTTACATTTCAAATACTCTGGGGCCAATGGATCGGTTAAACATAGCGGAAAGACTGCTAAGAATTCTAAGATTCCTGCGTTGTGGGATATTCAACCATTTACATAGAGAGCGATAGAAAGTACCGTGGTCATACTTTCTAATACCGAAAACGAAACGGATACAGTTGTTGAGAAGTCGATCCAATTTATTGACTAAGTAATTGTCTGCACCTAAGTAACACACATTGGCATAATCAAACATAGGAGGAATAAGAGATTATTCATATAAAGGGAATTAGAAGTTTCTTCATGCAAGGCAATAAATAGTTGTTTTCATTTTTGGTACCGTGTACGCTAACAGTACTCTTGAAGAGATTTATGCGCCGCCATATCTAAAATACCATTCTTCATCCGCACGGATTATAAGCATCTAAAATAATTTGCTATCAACAACATGGTTTTAGGTACATATATGTGCATTCAGCAGTGAACTTGAAAATTAAAGAAAAAAAAGGAGAAATATGTGTGCGTAAATGCATATCAAGAAATTGAACATGGTTTCGGCAGCACTGGAAATATACGAGAGCACTCCGTGTTATCTTTCTTTCAAAGTCTAAGGGTTGCAAGTTGCAACACAAATGAGATTAGTTGAGGGAGAAACATTGCTCTCACAGAATACCAGCGTAAAATAGCAGCATCAATATTCGTACGGTGAGTAGAATTGAATAGAATAGAATAATTTTTTATTCAATATAGATCACATGTGTAATTCTTACAAAATTTATTTTAGAAACAGCTTGGATGCGACCACCTCATTCCCAGGGGTTATTATCAACCATGTCTTCATTTATACTATAATAAACCTTTTTATACAGTTTCAATACTGGTGAGTGTAGAGAACCAGATACCTTTTTTACTGGTAACAAAGCATTCCGATTTAGTTCTCAGAGGTAAGAACGCATCTACATTTTGATCGAGGATACAAATATAGTTGTCTATGAGCCTCAGTATTCACTTACTTTACTTTAAAAAGTAAATGTTATACCTATAAATACATTTCTTCATAATACTCTGTTTTTTATTTGGTAAATAAATAAAAAAGGCATAATTATTTATCTATGTAAGATAATTAATTAAACCTAAATAAATTTGCATTAGCATTTATTTTACTTACTTGTTCTTATGTCTCATATCCAACTTAAGGTCATCCTTCTCCAATAACTCCTTGTAATATTCTACCATGTTTGGTGGATATTCGATATTGTACCCTGGTACAGGCATTACAACGTCGAAAATTGTATAACGACCACTTTGTACATCTTCTTCTGTCAGAACCTTAACTGGGACTTTTGGTTTTGGAACATTTTTCATTTGAGCCTTCTTTTCTGTTGTTTTATCAGATATTTTGTCTGGTTCTTTGTTATCATCGGTGTCATCTGTCGTTGGTTTTATTGCATCATCGCTCTGGTCAGCATTCTCGTCTAACGTTTTGTCTTCTTTTTCTTCAACATCTGATTCTGCATCGTCTTCGTCTTCTGGAATATAATTGAAAATATTTTCTTTAATCCTTCGTCGTTTGGAAGTACAATTGTAATATTTCTTATAATTTTATTACGTTATTTTATTACGTGGTAGTGACTCGATCCTTCCCCGGTCAAGCTGATCCACTCGAGCTACTCGTGCACAATCTCACAGAATACCAGCGTAAAATAGCAGTTTCATGCTGCTGAGTCTGCATTTTGATTATTAATCGAAGATTAATGTAGATTGGAATCTTATATAGGTTTATGTTGCACTGTACTTATAAATTGTGTATAATATGTATTTTTGTTGTTGTAAAAAAAAAATTCTATGAGCCACAACATCCACTTACCATCAGGAGGACAGGTGCTAGTTTGTCACCCTTATTCTATAGAAAAAATGTTCTTTGCTTGGAAGTACTATAGCGACCATGAATATTCTAAAACATTTAAGGTGGGCATATATTAGCTCTTAGCATAATACCTATTTATGTGTATGTGGTTGATGTGTGGTTTAATTTAATTACCTTAAAATCGCACAAAGATGTAAAATTATAATACCTAGACAGAGATATAACCACAGGTGAATGTCAAATGACAAAACGGGTAATCGGTAGTACTCCTTGAATACCTAGGAGTCCTAGTGAGTTATCTGTGTGCACCCAGTTACAGTTTAAAGGATAAGAGAATCATTAAGATTAAAGTCTGTGAAGCGTTTTTTATCCCTAAGAGACGACAACGCTATTAAGTTTGTCTTTTATTTGAAATTGATTGGAGTTATTCTTGGACTGCACGAAGCATTTCCCATTTTCCATAATAAATTGATGAAATCAGTCAAACTTTAAACAGTTTCCTGTTACCCGTTAATATCTTTCTCATAAAAGAGTTTACCCCTTCATCGCAATCTTCTATATTTAAGAGGGCATTTATCATTTCGCACTCAAACGACAATCAAGGGATGAAATTTAATAGTCACTCCAATATCTTGAAACTTGACGAAACAACGAAATAGTGACTACGAATGACATCACTAATATAACTGATTAATAACTAAATTATTTTACAAATTACAAAGAATTAGTGCAAAAAAATTGTTGATACATACCAATGTTTATCTCCAGCGGCGTAAGGGGAACCAGATCGCCCACAGCAGGCACGTGTCCAAACCGCTGCAGTCGCTGCGACACGCAGCGGTTCCACTGCAGCGACTGGTACGCGTGCAGGTACAGGATGCGCTTGTTGCGTGCCAGCTGCGACACGCACACGCACACTCAGTACAAATATTTATTTTAATATTTACAACCGCTGCAGTCGCTGCGACACGCAGCGGTTCCACTGCAGCGACTGGTACGCGTGCAGGTACAGGATGCGCTTGTTGCGTGCCAGCTGCGACACGCACACGCACACTCAGTACAAATATTTATTTTAATATTTACAACCGCTGCAGTCGCTGCGACACGCAGCGGTTCCACTGCAGCGACTGGTACGCGTGCAGGTACAGGATGCGCTTGTTGCGTGCCAGCTGCGACACGCACACGCACACTCAGTACAAATATTTATTTTAATATTTACAACCGCTGCAGTCGCTGCGACACGCAGCGGTTCCACTGCAGCGACTGGTACGCGTGCAGGTACAGGATGCGCTTGTTGCGTGCCAACTGCGACACGCACACGCACACTCAGTACAAATATTTATTTTAATATTTACAACCGCTGCAGTCGCTGCGACACGCAGCGGTTCCACTGCAGCGACTGGTACGCGTGCAGGTACAGGATGCGCTTGTTGCGTGCCAGCTGCGACACGCACACGCACACTCAGTACAAATATTTATTTTAATATTTACAACCGCTGCAGTCGCTGCGACACGCAGCGGTTCCACTGCAGCGACTGGTACGCGTGCAGGTACAGGATGCGCTTGTTGCGTGCCAACTGCGACACGCACACGCACACTCAGTACAAATATTTATTTTAATATTTACAACCGCTGCAGTCGCTGCGACACGCAGCGGTTCCACTGCAGCGACTGGTACGCGTGCAGGTACAGGATGCGCTTGTTGCGTGCCAGCTGCGACACGCACACGCACACTCAGTACAAATATTTATTTTAATATTTACAACCGCTGCAGTCGCTGCGACACGCAGCGGTTCCACTGCAGCGACTGGTACGCGTGCAGGTACAGGATGCGCTTGTTGCGTGCCAGCTGCGACACGCACACGCACACTCAGTCATCATCATCATCATCATTACAGCCCTTCACAAGTCCACTGCTGAACATAGGCCTCCCCCAAAGAATGCCACAAAACACGGTCCTGAGCCACCTGCATCCATCGACTTCCTGCATGTCTTACCAGGTCGTCACTCCATCTCGTGGGGGGACGCCCTACACTTCGCCTACCGGTACGAGGCTGCCACTCGAGAACCTTTCTTCCCCATCGGTTGTCGGTTCTTCGAGCTATATGGCCGGCCCACTGCCACTTCAGCTTACTAATCCGTTGGGCTATGTCGGTCACTCTGGTTCTACTGCGGATATCCTCATTCCTAAGTTTATCACGCAGAGAAACTCCGAGCATAGCCCTCTCCATAGCTCGTTGAGCGACCTTGAGCTTCCTCATACGGCCAGCAGTGAAGGACCACGTCTCAGTTCCGTAAGTCATCACTGGCAACACGCACTGGTTGTACAATTTCGTTTTAAGGTTTTGAGGTATGTCTGACGAGAAGATGTGTCGTAGCTTCCCGAACGCTGCCCAGCCGAGTTGAATCCGTCGATTGACCTCTCGGTCGAAGTTGGACTTACCTAGTCGGACTATTTGTCCCAGGTAAACATACTCGTCAACAACTTCGAGCTTAGTGCTCCCAACAACTACCGGCATAGGTGTGACATGGACATTGAACATGATCTTTGTTTTGTCCATGTTTATCTTAAGACCTATCCGTTGAGAAACACTATCGAGGTCATTGAGCATAGTGCTTAGGTCCTCCAGCGATTCTGCCATAAGGACTATATCGTCGGCAAATCGAAGGTGAGTGATGTACTCGCCATTGATGTTGATACCGTATCCTTTCCAGTCCAGAAGCTTGAAAACGTCTTCCAATGCAGCGGCGAAGAGTTTCGGGGATATGACGTCACCCTGTCTTACACCTCTCTGCAATTGGATAGGTTTCGTACTCTGGTTCTGTACTCGGATAGCCATCGTAGCCCTACTGTACAAGCACTTCAACACTTCGATATACCGACAGTCAACTTGGCACCGCTGAAGGGACTGCAGCACCGCCCAAATTTCGACGGAATCAAAGGCTTTCTCATAGTCCACATACGCCAGACATAGTGGCAAATTGTACTCTTCGGACTTCTGTACAACTTGCCGAAGGGTATGTATGTGGTCTATGGTGCTAAAGCCCTTTCGGAAACCGGCTTGTTCGGGAGGCTGGAAGTCGTCAAGTCTGCGCGCGAGACGATTCGTAATGACTCTCGAAAACAGCACGTAGACGCGGCTCAGAAGGGAAATCGGTCTGTAGTTCTTCAAGAGAGCGTTGTCACCTTTCTTGAAGAACAAGACCACCGCACTTCTGCTCCACGCCTCCGGTGTAATGCCACCATGGAGGACGGAATTAAAGAGCTTCTGAAGGACTTCAAGTACCGGTCTTCCACCCGCTTTCAGAAGCTCCGCTGTAATTCCATCCTCGCCTGGGGCCTTACCGTTTTTAAGGTGCTGGAGAGCCATCCTAATCTCGCTCAGACTGACATCCGGGATATCTTCGGAATAGTGTCGGATGAGACTCGATCTTGGATCGTTACTCACACTTGCGTGTGGCTCCAACGATGATGTGTACAGCTGCCCATAGAACCTCTCAATCTCACTCAAAATCTCAGGTGTCCCGGAAACGATGCTGCCACATTCTGTCTTCAGCTTTGACAGTTGGCTCTTTCTGGCAGACAGATCTCTGGCAAAGACTTTGGAGCCTTGGTTCCGCTCGATCGCTTCTTCAATACGAGCTGTATTGAAGTTGCGTAAGTCCCGCCGCATGCATTTGGAGATCTGTCTGTTCAGATGCCTGTATGCTGTCAAGTCTGTTGAAGAATGTAGCTTCATCTCCCGTCTAACAGCCATGAGATTAAGAGTGTGATCGGAGTTTTTGTGTTCTTCTGCGGCGGGTCTTGCAGAACTTAGCTCCAACCGCATGGACAGTTTCCACGAGCTTGTCATTCATATCGTCCACTTCATTGCAGTCTTCCAGGCACTGAAAACGGTTTTGTAACTCGAGCTGAAAGGTTTCGGGACTTTGGAACAGAGCACGAGGGGGACGGAGCGTTGACTTCATTAGACGAGACCTCTCCAACTTAACGTTTAGGTTCAGTGTGCCTCTAACCATTCGGTGATCGCTACCAGTTTTCACCCTCGCGATCACGGAGACATCACTGAACAGTTGTCGTCTGGTCGTCATAATGAAGTCAATCTCATTTTTTGTGGAACCGTCGGGGCTCGACCAGGTCCACTTCCTGTGGGGCCGCTTCTGGAAGAAAGAGTTCATCATAAAGAGTCCCTCTTTCTCCATGAAGTCGGCCAGCTGCTGGCCCCTTGGGTTCCGTTGCCCTATTCCAAATTTCCCTACTTTCAGCTCACCGTTCTCTCTTGTGCCTAGTTTTGCATTGAAGTCTCCCATTAACACCGTATATTGGGTTTTGGAGGAATGCATGGCTCTAGAGATATCCTCATACATTTCCTCCACCTCCTCATCGGGGTGTGCCGAGGTTGGTGCGTAAACCTGTATGACCTTCAGCGAATACCGTTTGGTGATTCTGAGTATAAGGTACGCAACCCTCGTCGACACACTCCCGATTTTTACAACGTTGTTAACGAGAGACTTGTGGACGATAAATCCGACACCTCCTTGGGACAGATGGTCGCCCTCCCGGTGATAGAGCAAGTTGCCGGATTCGAGGATTACCGTGTCCTCCCCCTCTCTTCGGACTTCGGATAATCCTATAATATGCCAGCGCAACTTGTCTATCTCTTCTTCCAGCTCCACGATCTTCTCGTCGGTCCTCAGGGTGCGTGCGTTGTACGTTGCCAGGTCGAGTCGTCTAAGGTGGCAACCGAACCTCCACCGGAGATTCTTAGCACCCCCTGCCCCGCCGTTACCATGGTCGCCACCGTAGCCAGGAATAGCGGGGCCGCCGGGGACTGGGGGCCGTTTTTTTGTTGCTCTCATCATTGGGGGGTATTTGCCATAGTTGCCACGCTTGGCGAGCGGGTTGGCAACCGCAGTTTTTTTATTGTAATTTGGCTATTATCAGGAAGATGCTGCTGCCCATCTCCTGGCTGTTTCCCTTTGTCGCCTTTTACGACACCCACGGGAGGATATGGGGTAGTGGATATTCTTGACCGCCACTACACGGCACACTCAGTACAAATATTTATTTTAATATTTACAACCGCTGCAGTCGCTGCGACACGCAGCGGTTCCACTGCAGCGACTGGTACGCGTGCAGGTACAGGATGCGCTTGTTGCGTGCCAGCTGCGACACGCACACGCACACTCAGTACAAATATTTATTTTAATATTTACAACCGCTGCAGTCGCTGCGACACGCAGCGGTTCCACTGCAGCGACTGGTACGCGTGCAGGTACAGGATGCGCTTGTTGCGTGCCAGCTGCGACACGCACACGCACACTCAGTACAAATATTTATTTTAATATTTACAACCGCTGCAGTCGCTGCGACACGCAGCGGTTCCACTGCAGCGACTGGTACGCGTGCAGGTACAGGATGCGCTTGTTGCGTGCCAGCTGCGACACGCACACGCACACTCAGTACAAATATTTATTTTAATATTTACAACCGCTGCAGTCGCTGCGACACGCAGCGGTTCCACTGCAGCGACTGGTACGCGTGCAGGTACAGGATGCGCTTGTTGCGTGCCAGCTGCGACACGCACACGCACACTCAGTACAAATATTTATTTTAATATTTACAACCGCTGCAGTCGCTGCGACACGCAGCGGTTCCACTGCAGCGACTGGTACGCGTGCAGGTACAGGATGCGCTTGTTGCGTGCCAGCTGCGACACGCACACGCACACTCAGTACAAATATTTATTTTAATATTTACAACCGCTGCAGTCGCTGCGACACGCAGCGGTTCCACTGCAGCGACTGGTACGCGTGCAGGTACAGGATGCGCTTGTTGCGTGCCAGCTGCGACACGCACACGCACACTCAGTACAAATATTTATTTTAATATTTACAACCGCTGCAGTCTTTTTTTTATTAATATACCACGTTTTTTAAACGGACTAAAAGGTATACTAGGTAATATGTATATCCGTCTTGCACACAAAAGTAGGGTGAAGTACTTTATTATAATAAAGTTTACCTTTACATTATTATTCGCGTAAATAAAATTGAAGTTTTTGTCTGTATTTACATAACTGACTTCTTTAAACCTAAGAAAATCATTTGGTATTATATAATAACCTTGGTAGAAAATATAAAACTACATTGTATGGGAAAAGTGTGTTTGCTATGGCTCTAAAGATATACAATAAGATTCCGAATAACATCAGAGTGTACATATTTTCAAAGATAGATTGTTCCACTTTCTTATTGAACATTCATTTTATTTTACGCCGGTTCGAGGAAACATAATATTGAAAAACAATTTTACGCCGAGCAGCTACGTAAACACTGAACGCGGCAGTCGTCGAAATCCAAGTGAAGGAGTTGATAATGAGAGCCAACTTCTAGACGAGAAAAGGGAAGTTTCACTGGGAAATGAAATCTCGGCTGGAGGAGCAATGGAAAGAATATGCATTACTGATAACTAAGTTTGATAGCACAGAAACGGAGTTAAAGGAATTAAAACAAATTTTGAAAGTAGTCCAAGAAAAGGCAAATAAAGTGGATATGTTAGAAACAAGAATTACAATATTATTGGGGAAAAAAATGAGAATTTAGAAGCAAGACTTAATATTAGAAGTGAAGACAAAGGATGTAAACTGGCAGATCAAGGATCTAAAGGACCGTCTCAGTCTTTTGCAAAAATTGTTAAAGAAAAAGCGCAAGTAATTAGAAATAACGTATCAGCAAAGGAATGTGTGGCCATGAAATCGGTGAAGAAAGTTTCGAATGAGAAAAAATTACAAGAAATAAATAGTGAGAGGAGTTTAATGAAAATTGATAGTACAGAAAAGGAAAACGTAGAACAAAAAAAGGAACAAACACAGACTGTAAATAGGAATAAAAACGATTTTCGAACACTGAAGCCAAGAAAGGTGGAAACACAAGTACAATTGAATTCAGGGAACAGAAAGGAAGAAATATTTACATGTATGGTGATTGCAAAAGGAAACAATCATAGAAAATATAGAAAAATATGTTAAAAAAACTTATGTAGAAGAAGTACCGGTTAAGGTAGAAAACATAAAACACAAGACAGAAGAGATTATGCTTCCTTTATTATAGGAGTCCGGAAAGCAAATATAATAAGTTGTGTCAGCCAGAAAACTGGGCAGTAAATATAGTATTCTCGGGATGGGTGTGGTTTCGTAGGCCAACCACCAAACAAAAAAAACCCTCAATAAATCCGTGGAGATATTGTATCGAAATGTGCGTGGGCTCCGAACAAAGTTAAAAGAATTCTACACAAATATTTCCACCGCAGCTGCAGACTTGTTTACCATCACCGAAATAGGTTGCAATGAATCCATTCATGATGCAGAAATAATATCACCGGAATACACCATTACACGATGTGACCGAGCGGATGGACGTAAACAAGGCGGCGTGTGTCTCATGGGCACGCCGCGTTATGAACTGCGAAGAGTATTATTACTGAGTAATATCAACATCGATAAACAAGCGTTAGAATTGGTTTGTGCTACGGTACACATACGTATTAGATATTTATTCTTGCTTTGTGTTGTATATATTCCGCCTGGTAGCAGTGATAATGAATATTTTTTATTGTTTAACATTATTGAACAGTTTTATGATAAGTAGAGTAAATTATTAGTTTTAGGGGACTTTAATTTGTATTCGTGTTCTACAGCCGTTAGTAATTATTATGAATACTAACTTTTTGTGGATTTACTAAGAGTAATAGACAAACGTACAAACGCGCGTCTGCCCGGCACTCCCACTGAGCAGCCTCAGCTGCACCACAAATTAACACATACGCACCACTACGTTGGAACTTTAATAAAGCAGACTTTTTGTCATTATATTCCTTAATTGCGGCTGCAGATTGGACTCCTTTATGAGTTAGACTTGGAAATGAGCTTAAAATATTTTTATAAAATTATCAATTCTGCAATGGATGACTGTGTTCCGAAAAAAAAAGCGAAGTCGTGTAAACTCAAAGTACATTCACCCAGAGTGGTACACTGTTGAAATAATTTGCAACATAAAATTGAAGGCTTTGCTGCATAAACGGTGCAAGGCCAGTAGATCGAGAACTGATTATGACGCGTTTGCTCGGTGTAGGGCTAATGTAAAGAATATGATATGACTCGCACAGGAACAATATCAACAACGTGTTCAAAATCAAATGTTGAAAGATCCAAAATCATTTTGGAATTTTGTTAAATCCAAAAGACGTAAGAGGAGTCCACAATTTATTTTGTAAGACAGGGAAGCGTTGTCTGAATCAGCAGTGTGTTGACGAGTTCGCAAAGTAATTTTATTCTGTTTATAGTTTAGAGCGGCCAGAGTTGGAAATGATCTCCACTATAATAGGAGCAGGTAGTGGAAACGGAGCGGCGCGGGTGCACTTATACCAATTATAGTTGGTATACGTATGTCGTACCCTTAAAGAACTTAAGCCCAAACAATTTGCAGGACCGGACGGTATTCCGCTTTATATCTTTAAGGAATATCGGTCAGTACTAGCCAAGCCGCTTTGGATATATATATAACAAATGCCTTAAGGCTGTTATTCCCGGAGAGGTGGAAAGTAACCCACATTGTTCTGCTTCCAAAGGGAGGTTCAGCAGAATCAGTGAATGAGTCAGAAAACAAGCCTGTTACAGTATTGTCTTCGCCAGCAAAAGTATTTAAAGCTGCTATTCATAAGATAATATTCCATCAGGTGAGCGCACAACTCTCAGACGCTCAACACGGGTTTCGACCAGGAAGGAGTAGAACCAGTAACCTTCTCTGTCAGATGACTCATTTGGTACAGAGTGGAGACAAGGGGGTACAGACAGATGCAGCCATTTTGAAATTGCAAAAATATATGAAAGTTTTTCTCCTGTCGTGTTCAATTTACACACATAAATTGCACATGGACAAACATCTAGACTCGGAACCACGATATACAAATACATATTTCGTGCGAGATTCAAACCCGCGGTCCTCAGCGCCATAACTCATTATTAAGCCATTGCGCCACGGAGAAGGAGAAGTCACTTCATGGGTTTCTCTATTTACTGACCTTGTCAAGTGCACCAAGCAGGTCCCTTGGGTTTTTCTGCAGAGCTCGCTCCAAACGAACCTCACTCGACCCACCGCGCCCACATCGATCATCCAGAATATACTTTATTGCCTGAGGGACAAACACCACTTTACTAACAAATTGTATAACGATGAACAAAAAACTAATTTTACGGATTTTATCGCGTTTATTTTAACTTATTAAGCTTATTTTTAATTGCCAATATTTCGGGTCACTGGAGAGGCTGATGTGTTCGACATCCCAATGTCATAGTTATGTCCGATACATACAGCTTTTGAATAGTCTGTAATGATAATGGCTCTACATATGCCTCAGATCAGAACATAGCCGAGTAGGCACTGCTGCTGACTGACTACTAAGTACTACTTTAAATAAGATTTCATAGTAACCTCTGTGACTGACCTCCCTGTAATTAGCCTGCAATAGCTTGAGTCCAATCTCGTAGGTAGGTATGTCCATTCTAGTGCCAAAACGCTGGAGCCCATAATAATTGACAAACCCTAAAGTCTTCAATTTCTCACACGCTTCAGAAATGACCTCATCCGAGGCGGTAACGTTACGGAGAGCTATGCGGAACCTAAGTGGAAAATATAACAAATCAATATTAGACTTTCAATTGGTTTGCTCAAATTAAACAAGTATAAGGGTTAAAACAGGAATTTAAAAAACTCGACTGTGTAAAAAGTTTTACTGAAAAGAGAAAAATTTTATAGCCTATGTCACTCCCACAATTAAGACGAATCCAACGACACCTCATATGTTAAAATCCATCCAGCCGTTTAGGCTACAGAGTGTGCCAAATAAATAGACATACATACAAGTCGCGGCACGTAAGTCTAGTGCTCAACGAAACGTGGAGGGAACGCGCACGAATGCAACTGGAGAGCCAATCAGCGCGTGCGAACGATAGACAAGCCAATCAGCGCAACTTATGTGCAATAACGGTCACCGCTAGACTTTCGTGCCACTACTTATACAACATACATACATTCGAAAAACTTTACCCTCTTTCTGGGGCAGTCGGGTAAAAATATAAATGATAAGATGGTAGAAGATTAGTGACTCACCGGTTCCCTTTAAGCATGCCAAGCTTGAGGTTAACGTTATTGAAACTGAAATTGCCTACGTGTAGATTTTGCAAGTCCTGAGCGGCCGAGGCGATACGACGTGGATCCACCTTCCGTAGACTAAACCACTGCGAGGTCTTCGCACGTCGGTCCTTGCTGCCAGCATATCCCATCAGAGATGGATGCATGCTGGACACCAGGGAAAAACATCATAATTGCTAATTGATAAGTGCATAATAGATAGTTTGTAAAAGATAAACACGTAGTGGCGGTGTAAGTATATGCACTACCCCAAATCATTTCGTGGGTGTCGTAAGAGGCGACAGAGGGAAACTGAAACACAAAAGAAAATAAAACCACAACAACAACTCAAAATAAAAAAAAAACTGCAGCTGGCAAACCGCTTACCAAGGAGTTTACCTACGTAGGTTCAAGCCTCTTATCTATTTCTGTCACCCACCACCGCAGTGCATGTAGTACTATGTTCCAGCCTGAAGGGTATACAGAGCCAGTATAATTACATGTTGTGATGCATTCCATCTTAGTCCTTACAGGTGACAATGCATCACTAGCCTTCTTTATTCAAATTTGGTTGCAGATGTACATGGGCTGCGTTAGCCGCTTACCAGCAGGTGAACTGTATTGTCTGCTTGTCACTTCTATTTTATAACCATAAAAGAAACATGTAAGAATTACGATAGGAAAGTTTTGGGTTCGAATGCGCTATTTGACTACTAATAAAAATATATTTTGTGCTTTGACTTTGACTTATTTTGCAAGGCACAAGAGGTCTACTGCAAAAATGATAGTTAGAGCCAAAACAGTTTACGGAGATAAAACAAGCATCTTTTAAGCTAGTTATGAACTACAAAATCTACTATGGGTTTCACAAAGTGAGATCTCAACCGAGAAGAACCAACAAGAAATTGTAGGCACCAGTTTTTTGTCTTGATAATTAAATTTTTCATGAATTATTTTATATATTGAAAGGAATTATAATATTGTTACGAGCTTGGGATTCGAGACAATTAAAAACTGCCGAGTGAATTACCGAAATTGACACTGTAATCATGGAGCACTAATTACAACTTAAACTATACTAATAATAAAACACAATTTTACTTCTGATAACTAGTTCGCCGTTGTATCGCTTCGAAGTATTCGCTTATATCGCCAATTCAATACTGTCTCGGTTGCGGTCTGTACAGGCCTTATATAGGGCCTCAGGTAGTTTCCAGAACCTTCTACTATAGAAACATCTAGAATGTTCGAGTACATATGGGTCCCGATATTTCTAGAAGGATCTTGACTCTCTTAGTTCAACTAGTGTCGCCATGTACAAGACATTAATAGTGGCGCGCAACAATATTATGCTGGTGTATACAATTGTTTTCACTAAAGCTAAATTGCATAGCAAAATGGTAATCGAATGTGCAACAAGCTTACTTCATTTTCAATCTATCAGCAAGTCTGGCCGCCGCTTCCATAGTATCGCAATTCTCTTTGTGCACTATAAAGTACACATATTCACCTGGCCATATCCACTTCACTCTGTTGTCTCTGCGCACTGAAAAAGGGAAATTAATATTTATTGAATGACAAAGGTTGTCATGTGGTAGCAGAATGAGAGTATCAACCACCTCACATTCTCCTCTTCAATGGTGAAGGAAAACTGTGAGGATACCTGCATGTCCGATTAATATTTCAAAGACACGTGAAGTCCCCTAATACACACTGGGGCAGCACAGCAGACTACTCCATTACTTAATAATAAGGGTGAGCAGGTGCCCAAAAGAACAATATGTACAGGCTGCAATTTCATATATGACGGCACCTGCACCGTTGTAGATGCGGTGGCGTCGATCTAGCTAGACAGAATTCTTGTAAACGACACGTGTACCGCACACCTGCGGCATTGCACCTGCGTTGCCGCCCGTCCTGCTTGTATAAAACGGACTGAGCGGCCGCTGTTAAGACAGTCTTGGCTCTGACGTGGAACGGTGCGCTTGTCGTATTCCGTTACTAGTTTATCCTCGACTCGTTAGATAATTAATTCGTGTAAACGAATTAATTATTATTCCCAACTACAAAATCAGTCACTGTACTATACTCAATTATACTGCCTACATATACATAATAAGCTTTGTTAATGTAGTGGCTACGCAAAGAAAATCGACTATCCCATACCATCTATTATAATCATGAAGCAAATACAAAGGTGAGACGGCATAAGCAACTGTGCACTGTTATTCTAAGTAGGTCCAGATGTCATCATAGTGGGCGTGGCTTTAGTTAGTATACGTCCTGTATGCTTATGTGTTGAAAATCGCAAATCTGTGTATTTTCGTAGATTGAAAAGAAAAGTGAAGTGATGTGTATTATCGTGTAAGAACTACTCAGATAGAGGCTCTGATGCTATGAATGACATCACATTTTATTTGTAAGTAATTTTACATTTAATTTATTAAAATAGTTCTATAAAAATCGCTGCATCGGCTTTCAAATATAATTAAATATATTCGACACTGGATGGCGACACTGTGTCAAAATATAAAGGTACATAGAGCTCAGTATTGGTAAAATAATCATACAAGGTGCTGAAATTTGTTTTGCATTCAAACATAAAGAAATTTTAACTGCCAAAATATTATTTTTATACTTTATAATCATTTCCTGAACAGGCCGCCATCTATCATCAAGGTAGCTAAACTACATTGCAACATCGATATGGAACGATTTGAGTAGTTTTTACTATTTATCGGTAGATGTAGATAGTGTAAAGTGGGCGGGGCTTGACATCCCCTCCCCCGCAAATTGTCACACGTTGTTACATAGTGAAATCTAATTACAACACCTCCTCTTTGTATTTGCTTCATGATTATAATAGATGACGGAGAGAAATGAAACAGGAGATAGCAGCAGCATCTCTTGATACCAACTCAAAATAATTCGCTCACCTCCTTTTCTGAACTTCTGGAATCTAACAAACTTCTTATCATCAACAGAAACAGTACTTCCCACTATACTCTTCCCAAAGGCCCTTTTCACTGCATCATGAATTTTAGTTCGTTGCTCCTTCGTCATTCCCGTAACATCCACCTGGAATAATTTAAGAATATTCTATACACATGTTATTTTACTTATTATACACCATATCTTAATGCATATTTTTGACAGACGACAAGAATATAGAGTGAAAAAAAAAGAGAGAATTCCAAACACTATTGAAGACTTAATGCCAGGTGACAAATTGTACAAATCTAATGGTATCTAATTTGTAATCTTGAATAAAGTGTTATAAACCATGAAAGCAATCACAACATACCTAAACCCAAGTAATTTTCATTTTTACTAAATATTGAGAACTTAAATTAAAAATTTTAAAACCTCTGACACAAAAAGAGCTGGCGATCTTCAAACAGCTGAACAGATTTTTTTGAAAAATAACTAAGAACACCCGATCAAGACACTTTTCAAAGGAAAAGAAACTTAATCAAAATCACTTCATACGTTCAGTAGCTATGATGCCACAGACAGACACACAGATACACAGACACACAGTTTTCTTCAGGGGTTAAAAAACTAGTTGCCAAACTGCATGCTAAGCATGCCTACTATGGCAAATATCTCCTCTATGAGGCACTCTATGGGGGAAATCTATGTTCAGCAGTGGTCTCTTAATAGACTGTATTGAAAAATATACTTTATAAAAATAACACATTTAACATGTACTACTACTTACAGATCACTTGATGGTAAATAACTACCACTGCCCATAAACAACAGTTTTATATCATTCTAATATTTTATATTATGCATTAATTCTCTATTTTGTAATCAAATTAGATTCACCATTTCTATTCTCAGGACAGCTATGTCATTTCGCTCATACCCATTAGAATTAAATTTGATTACATTGTTGGTCTGGTTGTAGCAAATGATGATCTAGCAGTCCTAAGTCCAAATTCATGGTCAAGCCAAAATCAATTATTGATTTGTTCTGTCAATAAATTCTCAGTAGCAACCCAGAGTCAGTTAAAGTTGTTGATGTTTCACTTTCACCACCCTTGGAAAGCATGCCATTGTCATAAAGCCAATTTATCATGTGTCTGATCTCTGTGGTCACTACAGACTGCCAACTCATCAGACTATGAGAGTGAGAATAAAGAGTTCATTTGGGCTAACGCACACATTTGTGCACTATATGCTTTTTCTGTACTAATAGCTAGTCTAAATTGTGACTAGCCGCTATATTTGAATTTCAGCCTGGAGTCATTATTTTACAATTAGAATACAACAATAACTTTTTTAAAAAAAATTAAAACTTAAGAGGAAAAAACAAAATAAAAATTTTGTTTTTTCTTGTCATTAAAAGTTTTGCTGTAATTAAGGAAAATTTTCAGAGGGCTTACTTCAACAATCTCATCTGTTGGCTGTGGGTTGGCGGATAATGCATTAATACGATCCCAAGTCTCTATCGGTAGTATTTCTGTATTATATTTTGATAAAAGTAAATCTTCATCTTCATGGATAGCATCTTCCGGAAGTTCCGGAGGTGACAAATTTGTAAGTTTTGCTATTTCCCCATTTTCATTTATTTCTGATACTTGAAAGTCTGAATATCTGTAAATTGACAACTTTTTTAAATTCATAACTCATAAACTGTATTTTGAGTTATGTATCTAATTCCTCAAAAAAATAACCTACCAATAGAAAGTACACTGCTCAAAATAAGATCTCTCTTTTAAGGCAATTACGTTTGCACACATTTGGTACAGAAGTATCAGCGATAGAGCACTTTTAAGCAGGGCTCGGAAACCGGTTGAAATTCTAAACCGGTTTAGGTCATTGACCCCAAAACCGGTTTTTGCGGAATACCGGTTTTTCACAAATTTCGGTTTAGGTCGTAAGAATTAACCGGTTAAAACCAAGCTTTGTAATATCCCCCTCTCTCTTACCCCGCTTGCACCCATCATTGTACGGCTGCCACTGTTTAATTCCCGAGGTTTTTAGACACATGCACGATATATTCATTGCATCAACGCGACTGCCTTGTGACGTAACTCCCTCATATTTTTTCATCTTTCCGCAACGATCGTATTATAAATAACAGATGTAAGTTCTGTTTCAATTAATTATGCGTTATCTTCACTTTAAAATTAAGTTTTGATATCAAGTTTAATTTGACGTTATATATTTAAATTGACTTTAATTATATTTAACGTATTCTATTAAAATTACGCTAGCATCTTTATTTCAATGTCATTAGTTTTAGTAATATATCGCAATAAATGATGAACTTTCTTAACAGAACACAATATTTTTAAAAGTTTATGAAATTATATGTTATAGTATTTTTGTTCTTTTTAGGACTAAAGTGAGGCAGATTAACAGATTTTTTTTTAATTCTGAAGCTCGTAATTACGACCAACCTCTATCTCAGTCTTTGCAAAATTAATAATGACCACTTCTGAGGTGTAAAGTTTAACTAGAAGTCATGTCTAAACACGACAAAAAATTGTTTGTTATGTTCAGAGAATTCTAACAAAAGAAATTACCATTTTTCACATCTCATTAAAGCGAAATTGGAGCAAATCTTATCATGTTGTGTACGTGCAAGATGCTACTAAAAATATTAGTTTTTCTAAATAGAGTGCAAGGTAACCACATAGATGAAATTAAATTAACTGATACTGAAATTAATAAAGAAAAATAATTTGAATCTAACAAATCATTATGATTAAATTCGGCTATACTTTGCTGTCGACTGTAACCAAATACATACACTAAAAAATCCTGTCTTTTATTTAAAGTAATTATTAATAACTCTCAATTAACTACATCATCACAGATATATCTACGAACATGTATTAAATTATAAAAGCGAATTATTAAAAGTGCAGCCAAGTTTTCTAACGCCTCAAGATCAAAATAATATAGTAATCACTTTCGAATTTTTTACAAACTTTTATACTTTACGCATACGAAACTATTAAAATAAATAAAATTGAAGTGTCTGTTCGTAACGTCAAAATAACAGATTTTTACTAAATACATATCATGAAATTATATAATTTTGTCTGTTTGTATGTGGTTACTAGCGTGACTGTGAATTATGATTTGGTCCTGGGTTTAAATCGTGTCCCAGGTCGTGCCAAGTACCGTTATTGGATTAATTTGGGTATAATGAGTGCTCTAGAAACCACCCTGATAGTCGTATTCAGCCCTCAATCAAGCACTTAGATTTTTGGGTTTTCTCGTCGTACGTTTGCTTATAGAAAAGGGGGCAAACGAGCATGCGGGTCATGTGATGGTAAGTGACTACTGCCACCCATAAACAACCGCAACACCAGGGGAATTGCAGGTGCGTTGCCAGCCTTTAAGAAAGGAGTGAGCTCTTTTCTTGAAGGTCCCTAAGTTGTATCGGTCCGGAAAAATCGCCGGTGGTTAACAATTCCACAGAGAAGTTGTACTAGGAAGAAAACTCCTAGTAAAACGCACAGTGGTGGCCCGTCAAACATACAGATGGTGAGGATGGTATCGTGAATTTTGACGCGATGTGCGTTCGTGAAATTTGGCGGCTGGAATTAAACGGAACAATTCCTCAGAGCACTCACTTGTTCTATCACCGGGAGGACCATCTGTCCCAAGGAGGTGTCGGATTTATCGTCCACAAGTCTCTTGTTAACAACGTTGTAAAGATTGAGGGTGTGTCGACGAGAGTTGCGTAACTTATACTCAGAATCACCAAACGTTATTCGCTGAAGGTCATACAGGTTTACGCACCAACCTCGGCACACCCCGATCAGGAGGTGGAGGAAATGTATGAGGATATTTCTAGAGCCATGCATTCCTCCAAAACCCAATATACAGTGTTAATGGGAGACTTCAATGCAAAACTAGGCAAAAGAGAGAACGGTGAGCTGAAAGTAGGGAAATTTGGAATAGGGCAACGGAACCCAAGGGGCCAGCAGCTCGCCGATTTCATGGAGAAAGAGGGACTCTTTATGATGAACTCTTTCTTACAGAAGCGGCCTCACAGGAAGTGGATCTGGTCGAGCCCCGACGGTTCGACAAAAAATGAGATTGACTTCATTATGACGACCAGACGACAACTGTTTAGTGATGTCTCCGTGATCGCGAGGGTGAAAACTGGTAGCGATCACCGAATGATTAGAAGCACACTGAACCTAAACGTTAAGTTGGAGAGGTCTCGTCTAATGAAGTCAACGCTCCGTCCCCCTCGTGCTCTGTTCCAAAGTCCCGAAACCTTTCAGCTCGAGTTACAAAACCGTTTTCAGTGCCTAGAAGACTGCAATGAATTGGACGATATGAATGACAAGCTCGTCGAATCTGTCCATGCGGTTGGAGCTAAGTTCTTCAAGCGCCCGCCGCAGAAGAACACAAAAACTCTCCGATCACACTCTTAATCTCATGGCTGTTAGACGGGAGATGAAGCTACACTCTTCAACAGATTTGACAGCATACAGGCAACTGAACAGACAGATCTTCAAATGCATGCGGCGGGACTTACGCAACTTCAATACAGCTTGTATTGAAGAAGCGATCGAGCGGAACCAAGGCTCCAAAGTATTTGCCAGAGATCTGTCTGCCAGAAAGAGCCAACTGTCAAAGCTGAAGACCGAGTGTGGCAGCATCGTTTCCGGGGCACCTCGCATTTTGAGTGAGATTGAGAGGTTCTATGGGCAGCTGTACACGTCATCGTTGGAGCCACACGCAAGTGTGAGTAACAATCCAAGAGCGAGTCTTATCCGACACTATTCCGAAGATATCCCGGACGTCAGTCTGAGCGAGATTAGAATGGTTCTCCAGCTCCTTAAAAACAGCAAGGCCCCAGGCGAGGATGGAATTACAGCGGAGCTTCTGAAAGCGGGTGGAAAACCGGTCCTTGAAGTCCTTCAGAAGCTCTTTAATTCCGTCCTCCATGGTGGCATTACACCGGAGGCTTGGAGCGGAAGTGCGGTGGCCTTGTTGTTTAAGAAAGGTGACAACGCTCTCTTGAAGAACCACAGACCGATTTCGCGGCTCAGAAGCCGCGTCTACGTGCTGTTTTCGAGAGTCATTACGAATCGTCTCGCGCGCATACTTGATGACTTCCAGCCTCCCGAACAAGCCGGTCTCCAAAAGCGCTTTAGCACCATAGACCACATACATACCCTTCGGCAAATTGTACAGAAGTCCGAAAAGTACAATTTGCCACTTTGTCTGGCGTATGTGGACTATGAGAAAGCCTTTGATTCCGTTGAAATTTGGGCGGTGCTGCAGTCCCTTCAGTGGTGCCAAGTTGACTGTTGGTATATCGAAGTGCTGAAGTGTTAGTACAGTTGCTATCCGAGTACAGAACCAGAGTACGAAACCTATCCAACTGCAGAGAGGTGTAAGACAGGGTGACGTTATATCCCTGAAACTCTTCACCTCTGCATTGGAAGACGTTTTCAAGCTACTGGACTGGAAAGGATGCGGTATTAACATCAATGGCGAGTACATCACTCAACTTCGATTTGCCGACGATATAGTCCTTATGGCAGAATCGCTGGAGTACCTAAGCATTATGCTCAATGACCTCAATAGTGCTTCCCAACGGATAGGTCTTAAGATCAATATGGACAAAACAAAAATCATGTTTAACGTCCATGTCACACCTATGCCGGTAATTGTTGGGAGCACTAAGCTCGAAGTTGTTGACGAGTATGTTTACCTGGGACAAATAGTCCGACTAGGTAAGTCCAACTTCGACCGAGAGGTCAATTGACGGATTCAACTCGGCTGGGCAGCGTTCGGGAAACTACGACACGTCTTCTCGTTAGACATATCTCAAAACCTAAAAACGAAATTGTACAACCAGTGCGTGTTGCCAGTGGTGACTTACGGATCTGAGACGTGGTCCTTCACTGCTGGCCGTATGAGGACTCTAGGTCGCTCAGCGAGCTATGGAGAGGGCTATGCTCGGAGTGCCTCTGCTTGATAAACTTAGAAATGAGGATATCCGCAGTAGAACCAGAGTAACCGACATAGCCCAACGGATTAGTAAGCTGTAGTGGCAGTGAGCTGGCCGTATAGCTCGAAGAACCGACAAACGATGGGGAGAAAGGTTCTCGAGTGGCAGCCTCGTACCGGTAAGCGAAGTGTTGGGCGACCCCCCACTAGATGAAGTGACGACCTGGTGAGACATGTAGGAAGTCGATGGATGCAGGTGGCTCAGGACCGTGCTTTGTGGCATTCCTTGGGGGAGGCCTATTTTCAGCAGTGGACTTGTGTAGGGCTGTAATGGTGATGATGATGACATGTGAAGTTCGCTAACAAACATTGGGGTAGCGCGGCGGACATTTACTTGCCCTAAAACCCTCTCAGAAATAAGAGGAGGCTCGTGCCCAGCAGTGGGACGTATAAAGGCTGCAACTTTACTTTACTTTTTCTGGTACTCGAAGACGTTTCCCGAGAAATATGGCACGGCCGGTGTATATTGCATCACTAGTGCTGTCGTTGTTACCAGTTTGCAAAATATCATTGATATGCAGTAGAAACAGCGTTGGTGATAGCACGCAGCCTTGTGGAACGCCAGCATTAATAGGCTTGTAATCAGAGCATGCACCGTCTACTACGACCTTCATGCTCCGATCAGCAAGGAAACTGGTGATCCAATTGCACAATTTCTCGAGAAGCCTATAGGAAGGGAGCTTCGAAAGAAGCGCTTTGTGCCAAATCCGATCGAAGGCATTCGCAATGTCCAAACTAACGGCCAATGCCTACCCCTTAGACTCTACTGCCTCCGCCCATCTATGAGTTAGATAGACCAGAATATCACCAACTGATGAACCCCGACGAAAACTGTTTATAATGGATTCCATTATTTTGGAGAACAAGGAGGTGTTGGTGATAGGCCTGTAGTTTGACGGGTCTAAGTGGTCGCCTTTTTTAGGGATCGGGTGAACCAAAGCTGTCTTCCATGAATTTGGGATAACGCCTTAGGAGTAGAAGTACCGGAAAAGACGCGTTAAAACAGGTGTCTACTTCGGAGCACACGTCTTCAGCACAATGGAAGGGAACCGAGTGCTGTGTAAGCCGCAAATCTGGCATGGAGCACTCAAACCGCGGGATGGTCGGCGGTGTATTCCTCCGTCATCGAGAGTCGAGTTGCACGCAAAAAGAGAGATTAACAGATCGGCTTTCTCCTTTGCGGCATGGAATCAGTGAGTCGCTCTCTCTTTGCAGAGAGGGCTGACAGAAGTTCCCTTGGACAGCCTTAGCAAGAGACCAGAATGAACGGGTTACCGAAGGAAGGCGAACTAGCCTCTCACCAACTCCGCCGATGTGCTCTGACCTTGCCTTGGCAATTAATTTTGAAGAACCTGGAGGCGGAATTATACTTCTTTTGAAGAGCGCTGATGTTTACATCTCGATACATCAACGTCTCGGAATGTAAAGATGTCGTCAGCCCCCGATGGGAACCACAGAAGATGGAATAAAAAGTTCCATATCCTCAAGTACCATATCAGTGACAGAACCAGCAACATTGCTGGGATTGTCCAGCGGGAAGCAAATTCGCCCTCAAGGGTAGAATGCAAAATTAAGACCGCATCCTTTCCCAATCGGCCGATATATAGTGCCAAACACGGCGGCTGCCTGCAGAATGCAACCGCGAAGATAGTGTGAGTGACACCACCCTTCGGACAAGACAATGGCCCTAGGAGCCGTGAGGGGTGTCAACGGAAACCTGATATCCGTCCGGATAAGAGGTCAGCAGAAGTTCCAACAGGGAAGGCGCATGATCCTCCACATCTGGAATCCGCGTAGGCGCGTAGGTAGTAACCAGCTGTGCAACCATATGCCAAGGCAAAGTCATAAACAAATTTCCCCACATGATCGGTTAAATGTGAACCGAGCCATTCGGCGTGATGGTCGTTAAAATCGTCAAGGATCACGATCTCTGAGGATACCCCCCTACCCCCCCACTCCCCTGTATACCAGAATACGCGGGGCAGCTTGAGCACACATGCTCAGGAACAGTAGGGTAGCTTGGGCGTGGGTGCTCAGCGAAGGATTCTCCATCACCAGGATTCTGGTACCCTCCTGGGGTAGTTTTTTATTTGATGCCGCTACCATACTTTAAGGGGGGGGGGATTGGGCCTCCGACCACCCACACCTACCAAGCGAAACGCAGAAGTAAATTTCTACTTCACGCTGGTATTCTGTGAGGTCGTGGTACTACCCTGGTTCGAGCTGGCCCATCCATGCGATAGCAAAAGCTGCCGCGTGGCTCTATCTACTACTACTGTTAAAACGTAAACATGGAATGAATTCTATTTACTTTTTTCAGCCCATCATAAATAAACAACCGATACACAAGAATAAATTATTTTCTTCATTATGAGACACGTCCAGTCTTAACGAATAAACCAAACACAATAACTGCCTTTCTTTCTTCAAAACTTCTCCAATACTTTCCAGTTTTTCGTAAACGCCAAACTCCCACTACACACCCTGATCGCGACTAAAACAATGTATCGCTTGAAGGCAGATAATTGATGTGTGCCCGCATGCGGCGATGCCGCATAAGCACCTCGTAACGTGAATCTACCTGTCCTATTCATAACTGCATTTACGTTTTACGGAATTAACCGGTTAATTTGGGTGTCGAAACCGTTAAGTAACCGGTAACCTTTATCGTTTAGGTTTAATAAAAACCGGTTAATGTTTTAACCGGTAATTGAAGGAGCGATAAATTTACCGGTAATTAATCGAAATTAACCGCTCTTTTTAAACCGGTTCCGAGCCCTGCTTTTAAGCATATTGATAATGGTTAAGATATTTTCAATTCTGCTAAAAAACTCTTTTTAAAGAGCACAGTACGTTTTTGAATATGATTTATAATTAGATATGTCATAGATTCAAAAGAGAAGTTTGATTGGCCTTACCTACATTTTATAATTCCATTGAAACCCTTATGCTCGCTCATGTACTCTGTTACACCTATATCTTCTTCGGATAACCTCTTACCTGGAGTATCCCTATTCGGCCTGTTCTGCCATTGTCGGTTAGGGTATCTATCTCCAAAGTTGTTTCGATTACCGCCACGGTACCCTCCCCTTTGGTCTCCAAATGCTCCTATTTGCTGATCGTGAAAGTTTGGCCTAGGCCATGAGCCTCTATTTCCTCCTCTTCCACGTCCTCCATGTCCTCCACGTCCACCCCATTTTGGTCCACTCCAGCCCCTACGATCTCTATTATTTGCATTCCAGTTGTTACTCATTTTCGAAAACAAGAAGATAACCTCAAATCGGCAAATGTAGAAAAATGTTATTTGAAAAATATTACAGAACAATACATAATACTTAGAGTATATTTTATCTAAAGATACTTCTAGTGAACATTAATTATTACTAAATTAATTGTAAAACGTGCTGCAAACAACAGCAAATTCTAACCACGAAACGCACAGACCAGCACAGACCAAGATATACCACAGAACCACAGAACACTAATCACAGAACACTAATACCCTTAGGCACAGAACACTACAGCGTTGTTCCTGACAAATTTAGGATTGCCGTATTCTAATTCCGAAATTGCCGGATTTTTAGGGAAAACTAAGAAAAATGCCGTATTATAGCAAATATTTATTTAGAAGGTTAAATTTAAAAAAAAAACATGAAATGTTGTTTCCGTAATAAATAAGTGTGTAATACAGTTGGACTAATTTTATTCTTCACCATATAGGTTTTGAATAGTTTCCAGTACTTCTGATTCTGTCGCATTTAGGTCATCCTTTTTTTTATCTTTCATTTTACGAATCATTTCGCTTGGCACTTGAAAATTTGTACAATTACCGTGATTACGGATTGCTTGTCTGGCTAGAAGAGTTCCATTAATAGTTGAAGTTATTAATTTATTTCGAAGTCTCGTTTTCATATTATTTACTTCACTGAAGATACGTTCGCAGTCTGCGTTCGAGTATGGCAGACATAAAACATTTAGAGCAAAAGATGCTAATGTTTTTAGTTCTGTTCCATCACGGATTTTAATCCAAAACTCATCGGTTTTCTGTGAGCTAATTTCATATAATGGTAATTTGTTTACCACTGGTAGTATTCTCCATTCATCATCAATTTTTTGGAAATCGTCGGCATTATTGACGATTCGTGGCAATTTTTGCATAAGCGGTAAAATGGATGGACAAACATTTCTTGTTTGATTACTAGCTGCTTCTTCAGGTGATAAATATTTTAAAAGTTGAAGTAAATCGTCAGAGAAGTCGTATCTTTTTTTAATTTCTTTGCAGCCTGTGATGAGGAAATCTCTGCAGCGAGAGTAAAACTCTTTTAATTCTTCTTTTTTTGTTGATATATCTGGTTTTTGCGTTTCTATCATAATTTTTACCCCCAAATACATTTCTGGGAGAAAATATCGCGTATCTTCTGGGGCAATTGAGCTGATCACATTTTGTTGAACATAATCCCTTTGCATATAACACATTAATAATTCTTTGTACATTAATCTTATGTGTTCATCCAGTTCTACCAATTTTGAGTCTGCGCTTTGAAAGTACTCGTTGAGTTTAATAAATTTTGGTAATATCCACTGCAGAAATAATAAGTAAAGCTTAATAAAATCGTCATGCAGCTCACGGTAAATTAATTCTGCAGCTACAGTTTTTTCTTCGAGCCATTTCTGCGTGAAAAACAATTTAAGGCTGTTCCACTGTTCAAGCAACCTGTTCACAACTGATAGCAGGGAAAGCCACCGAGTTTGCGATGGATGTAAAATCTTGTGGATTTTTGAGTTAGTAAAAACTTGAAATTCCAAATATTGGGCTTGGCGTTTGGAACTCAGTTTGAAAAAACCGTAAATGTTTCGCGCCAAATCTTCGCAACGTCTTGGTAATTTTTTGCATGCCTCACTGGCACACAAATGCATAGAATGGCATATACATTTAAAAATAAATATACCTGGCAGATTTTCTCGCAAACGGCTAGCTACTGAATTTTGTGATCCCATCATAACGTTGCAGCCGTCTGACGCGAATCCTATAATATTTTCTAATGGGATCCCTCTATCACTAAATTTCTTTATAATGAGATCATACATGGCTTCTGCTGTAGCTCCCTCTGCTGCCATCGTAAAATCGCCTGCCTCAAATAAAGGTGCCAGTTCCCATAGTGAAGACATGACCTTTTTTTGCTGGTCATCAAAATAACGGATAATAATGCACATTGCCGTGTAGTGGCGGTTAAGAATATCCACTACCCCATATCTTCCCGTGGGTGTCGTAAAAGGCGACAAAGGGAAACAGGCAGGAGATGGGCAGCAGCATCTTCCTGGTAACGACAAAATACAATAAAAAACTGCGGTTGCCAACCCGCTCGCCAAGCGTGGCAACTATGGCAATATACCCCCCATAATGAAAGTTACGAAGAGACGGCCCCCAGTCCCCGGCGGCCCCGCTATTCCTGGCTACGGTGGCGACCATGGTAACGGCGGGGCAGGGGGTGCTAAGAATCTCCGGTGGAGGTTCGGTTGCCACCTACAACGACTCGACCTGGCAACATACAACGCACGCACCCTGAGGACTGACGAGAAGATTGTGGAGCTGGAAGAAGAGATAGACAAGTTACGCTGGCATATTATAGGATTATCCGAAGTCCGAAGAGAGGGGGAGGACACGGTAATCCTCGAATCCGGCAACTTGCTCTATCACCGGGAGGGCGACCATCTGTCCCAAGGAGGTGTCGGATTTATCGTCCACAAGTCTCTCGTTAACAACGTTGTAAAGATTGAGAGTGTGTCGACGAGGGTTGCGTACCTTATACTCAGAATCACCAAACGGTATTCGCTGAAGGTCATACAGGTTTACGCACCAACCTCGGCACACCCCGATCAGGAGGTGGAGGAAATGTATGAGGATATCTCTAGAGCCATGCATTCCTCCAAAACCCAATATACGGTGTTAATGGGAGACTTCAATGCAAAACTAGGCACAAGAGAGAACGGTGAGCTGAAAGTGGGGAAATTTGGAATAGGGCAACGGAACCCAAGGGGCCAGCAGTTGGCCGACTTCATGGAGAAAGAGGGACTCTTTATGATGAACTCTTTCTTCCAGAAGCGGCCCCACAGGAAGTGGACCTGGTCGAGCCCCGACGGTTCGACAAAAAATGAGATTGACTTCATTATGACGACCAGACGACAACTGTTCAGTGATGTCTCAGTAATCGCGAGGGTGAAAACCGGCAGCGATCACCGAATGGTTAGAGGCACACTGAACCTAAACGTTAAGTTGGAGAGGTCTCGTCTAATGAAGTCAACGCTCCGTCCCCCTCGTGCTCTAATCCAAAGTCCCGAAACCTTTCAGCTCGAGTTGCAAAACTGTTTTCAGTGCCTAGAAGACTGCAATGAAGTGGACGATTTGAATGACAAGCTCGTGGAAACTGTCCATGCGGTCGGAGCTAAGTTCTGCAAGACCCGCCGCAGAAGAACACAAAAACTCTCCGATCACACTCTTAATCTCATGGCTGTTAGACGGGAGATGAAGCTACATTCTTCAACAGATTTGACAGCATACAGGCAACTGAACAGACAGATCTCCAAATGCATGCGGCGGGACTTACGCAACTTCAATACAGCTCGTATTGAAGAAGCGATCGAGCGGAACCAAGGCTCCAAAGTCTTTGCCAGAGATCTGTCTGCCAGAAAGAGCCAACTGTCAAAGCTGAAGACCGAATGTGGCAGCATCGTTTCCGGGGCACCTGAGATTTTGAGTGAGATTGAGAGGTTCTATGGGCAGCTGTACACGTCATCGTTGGAGCCACACGCAAGTGTGAGTAACGATCCAAGAGCGAGTCTTATCCGACATTATTCCGATGATATCCCGGACGTCAGTCTGAGCGAGATTAGTATGGCTCTCCAGCACCTTAAAATCGGCAAGGCCCCAGGCCAGGATGGAATTACAGCGGAGCTTCTGAAAGCGGGTGGAAAACCGGTACTTGAAGTCCTTCAGAAGCTCTTTAATTCCGTCCTCCATGGTGGCATTACACCGGAGGCGTGGAGCAGAAGTGCGGTGGTCTTGTTCTTCAAGAAAGGCGACAACGCTCTCTTGAAGAACTACAGACCGATTTCCCTTCTGAGCCGCGTCTACGTGCTGTTTTCGAGAGTCATTACGAATCGTCTCGCGCGCAGACTTGACGACTTCCAGCCTCCCGAACAAGCCGGTTTCCGAAAAGGCTTTAGCACCATAGACCACATACATACCCTTCGGCAAATTGTACAGAAGTCCGAGGAGTACAATTTGCCACTATGTCTGGCGTATGTGGACTATGAGAAAGCCTTTGATTCCGTCGAAATTTGGGCGGTGCTGCAGTCCCTTCAGCGATGCCAAGTTGACTGTCGGTATATCGAAGTGTTGAAGTGCTTGTACAGTAGGGCTACGATGGCTATCCGAGTACAGAACCAGAGTACGAAACCTATCCAATTGCAGAGAGGTGTAAGACAGGGTGACGTCATATCCCCGAAACTCTTCACCGCTGCATTAGAAGATGTTTTCAAGCTTCTGGACTGGAAAGGATACGGTATCAACATCAATGGCGAGTACATCACTCACCTTCGATTTGCCGACGATATACTCCTTATGGCAGAATCGCTGGAGGACCTAAGCACTATGCTCAATGACCTCAATAGTGTTTCCCAACGGATAGGTCTTAAGATGAACATGGACAAAACAAAGATCATGTTTAATGTCCATGTCACACCTATGCCGGTAGTTGTTGGGAACACTAAGCTCGAAGTTGTTGACGAGTATGTTTACCTGGGACAAATAGTCCGACTAGGTAAGTCCAACTTCGACCGAGAGGTCAATCGACGGATTCAACTCGGTTGGGCAGCGTTCGGGAAATTACGGCACATCTTCTCGTCAGGTATACCTCAAAACTTGAAAACGAGACTGTACACCCAGTGCGTGTTGCCAGTGATGACATACGGAACTGAGACGTGGTCCTTCACTACTGGCCGGATGAGGAAGCTCAAGGTCGCTCAGCGAGCTATGGAGAGGGCTATGCTCGGAGTTTCTCTGCGTGATAAACTCAGAAATGAGGATATCCGCAGTAGAACCAGAGTGACCGACATAGCCCAACGGATTAGTAAGCTGAAGTGGCAATGGGCCGGCCATATAGCTCGAAGAACCGACAACCGATGGGGAAGAAAGGTTCTCGAGTGGCAGCCTCGTACCGGCAGGCGAAGTGTAGGGCGTCCCCCCACTAGATGGAGTGACGACCTGGTAAGATTTGCAGGAAGTCGATGGATGCAGGTGGCTCAGGACCGTGCTTTGTGGCATTCTTTGGGGGAGGCCTATGTTCAGCAGTGGACTTGTGAAGGGCTGTAATGATGAATGATGATGAATGCACATTGTTTTTGTGGCTGAAATATCCGTTGATTCATCTACCAGTACGCTGAATTTATTATTTTTAATAATGTTGTCCAAATAATCTTTTTGGAAATCACCAACAACATTTTTTACCGTAGATGTGCATTTTTTTCGTTTTATGGCAATCTCGGAAGCAATTCTGGAGTCTGGAAAACACGATTTTAGCAACTCTGATAAATGATCCATAGCCATAAATGATATGTTGTGCTCTGCGACGAATGCACTAAGTTTTATTTCGGCTTCCATTACTTTCCTATTTTGATCGGTTTGTCGATTCTGAAAATAAGTGCTAACGTCTTTTGCAGAAGAGCTCGCTGATGCTCTTCTTACGTGTTGAGTGTTTAAAACATGACGTTTTAAAGTTGAAATTTCGCAAGAAAGTTTGACATCACACACTGTACATTTTGCCTTGTAGGGGTCATCACTGACAGGGACAATCCAATTCTTAAACGTTTCATCACTTTCCCACTGCTTTCTGTACTTTTGTTTTATGTGTTTACTTTTTACCTTTTTTTTTCGGCGTAGGTGGCCCGTCGTTATTGTCACACTCATTATCACTCATTTTCAATTAAAACTTTAAAAAATATTCGTAAAATAGCTTTAACTAATAGATCATACATAAAGCAAAACAAAGCGTTAAATGACAGAACCACAATAGGTACAGCACATTAACAATTATTCTGGGGATTCCCCACATATCCTAGAACCTACCCGAGTAAAGGTTGTAAGTAAACTTACTAGAATGAGGAACTAAAGATTTTAGACATTAAAGCCTCAATGATAAGGTTGAATCTAGTTGAATACTTTTAACGTTTGACATTCCTACTTTATCTGTGGCAAAAATACTCTGTGTTGACAAGTTGGTGCGTTTCGTTATACGAAATATTTATTTGTGATTACTTTAGTCAAATACCGTATATTTTAATACGGTAATTAAATAGCTGCCGTATACCGTATTTTTGTTGCCAAAGTTACCTGAATGCCGTATATTACGGCAATTGCCGTATCAAGAACAACGCTGGAACACTAATACCCTTAGGCGGGAAGATTTACTAAACGCACAGAGTACTTTTATATATACTGACTAAACGTAATAAACGTAGTGATTATATTCTCTTTGTACAGTGATATACAGTAATCGTAATCTATGGCATAGACCATAAATAAATAATTTTTTTTATAATTATAACTGGCTTTACGGCTCTGGGTTCCAGCCCTTCCGAGCCTGAAGTTACAATGTATAATTATTCTTCATAGTACACTGCTTGACAATATGTTGATGTGTCACATTGTGCAGCACCTGGGAGATTTTGACGGTAACATGACCCAGCAGACAGCTGACAGTTGGCGATGGTATCTCGAGGCGCCTAAGCAGACAGACACCTTATCTTGAGAATCACATCACCATCAGAGCACTTGTTTCACCGTTTCCACTAATAGTTCACATGCGCAGACACTTAATACACAAAATATCACCACTTTTACATATCAAAAGCCACTTCAAACCATTTTTTAAACAATAATTATACAGGAGCTGCAACCGCCACTGGTCAAGTTCCCGCCAAAACTCTCGCACAACATATACCTATATATCTGTAATTGTTGAATACGCGTCAAAAATGGAGTGTCAAAAATGTAAAAAGAATTTAGCTAAAAGAGGATCTCACTTCATTTGCCAAGGACCGTGTCAAGGAACTTTTCATGGAGGTTGTGTTAAGGGTCTTACGGCGGACATAAAAAATGGGAGGAATCGGATCTATTGTAATAACTGTGAAGACGATGGATCTGAAGAAGAAGAACAAGAGGAATACTCACAGGACTTCACTAAAATTCTTAAGGACATACAGCTAAAAGTGGTTGCCATTCCCGGGTTCAAAAAACAACTTGATTCCATTACGCAAAGTTTGAGTATGCTTTCCGATAAGTATGATATATTGATCGTAGAACATGAACAATCAAAAGATAAAATACATAAGCTTGAGAAAACTATCGCCGATGTCTATGTCATCTCGTAAAAACAATATCGAGATTGTAGGTATTGAACAGCTTCCCGGTGAAAATGTCACAGAGATTGTCTTAAAAATAGGATATATTATCAATGTGAGCAGTTCGGATATAGAATGGGCTAGATATATTCGATCACCAAAAGAAAGTACCAAAACAGCGACCATTATCGTGAGCTTTAAGACTACAGGTACCAGGTCGAGGGACAGCTGGCTTGCCCAACGTCGCAACTTATCAGAAACGACAAATAATATGATTACAAATGGTTCGGCTTTGAACAAAATCTACATGAACGAAGACATGACCAAGACAACGCGAGCCCTACTATGGTGTACTAAGAAACAGCTCCAAGGAATTTACAAATACGTATGGGTTTCAAACGGGAAAATTCTAGTGAAGAAATGTGGAGGTGAAAAAGCAATATGCGTGCTAGCTGAAAGTGATATTTGTGATCTACTTAACAAAAAGTGAAAAAATTACTAACTACAGTGATTATAGTGTTTATTTTTTATATAAAGTTCGCGGACTTAAGCAATATAGACTCCATATTACACGATGAATCTGTAAGTTATACGTGTCTTGATAGCTTAAATACGTGGGTGCAACAAGTGCACAATGTCAAAGGCTTATGTTTTTTACATGTAAAAATTCGATCCTTAAAAAAACATTTCAATGAATTTCTAGTTACTCTCGGTAGTGATTTGAGCCAATTGGATGTCATAGTGATAACTGAACCAAACATAAATTATTTTGTATTATCTTTTTACAAAATTCCTGGATTCAAAGTTAATATTTATACTCGACAAGGACGCAGCGGCGGAGGTGTACTTGTGTATTCGCGGGTTGAGCTCACTGCGCGTGTACGCGAAACGGCTGAGCTCGCGAGTAGTACCAGTGTTATGCGCTCGGCGGAGTGCGTTTCCATTACACTCAACGTTAATGGGGAGCATATTTATTTAATTTCTATTTATAGGCTCCTCGATTCCGCAACCAAGACAGAATTCGAGAATTTTTTGTTGAATTAAGAAATCTATTGGGCAAATTACCTAAGCACTCAAAAGCAATAATCTGTGGTGACATAAATATAGACCTTTTAAAATATCAAGATAACAATGTTCAATTGTATTAAAATATAATGGCGGAATATGGTTTTGCTAGGTGCATATGTGACGTAACACGAAGGGAAATAGTCATGGGTAACATTGTAGAATCGTGTTTGGACCATATTTATATAAGGGCACCCTTATCATTAATTGAATCATGTGTAATAAAACATAAGGTATCTGACCACTACTATATCACGGCAGCGATACAAAGGAAACGCGTTCCTTCCGTGAGTCATGTCACCCACCAACCCACTATGATAGTCGTATGCCAATGCGCTCTGTCAATAGGTGCGTTTTGAGTAAATAATTACTACGGGGACAGAACTTTAAAGATACGTCTACTGTACTTTCTCAATACACTGCCTGAGGATATTCGACGTGAACCAGTAAAAAATATATTTAAAAACAAATTAAAGCAATACTTATTGGCTAGTCTTAGTGCTTAACTTTAATATTATTATGTAAATGAGACTCAAATATTCCTGCAGATAAACTGCGTAAGCAGTTTTGCGGAAATATGTATATTAAAACCAACTTTGTACTTTTAATAAGAAATAAATAATAAAAAAAAACAGAGATAACAGACTACTAAGAGGATACTAGGCATACAGAGATCTACAGATGAAACCAAAGAGTATAGTACACAGAATAAATATAACCTGGTATCATCACCATTCATCATTACAGCCCTTCACAAGTCCACTGCTGAACATAGGCTTGTCCCAAGGAATGCCACAAAGCACGGTCCTGAGCCATCTGCATCCATCGACTTCCTGCATATCTTAGCACGTCGTCACACCATCTAGTGGGGGGCAGCCCTACACTTCGCCTGCCGGTACGAGGCTGCCACTCGAGAACCTTTTTTTCCCCATCAGTTGTCGGTTCTTCGAGCTATATGTCCGGCCCATTTCCACTTCAGCTTACTAATCCGTTTGGCTATGTTGGTCACTCTGGTTCTACTGCGGATATCCTCATTTCTGAGTTTATCACGCAGAGAAACTCCGAGCATAGCTCAATCCATAGTTCGCTGAGCGAACTTGAGCTTCCTCATCCCGCCAGCAGTGAAGGACCACGTCTCAGTTCCATATGTCATCACTGTCAACATGCACTGGTTGTATAGTCTCGTTTTCAAGTTTTGAGGTATATCTGACGAGAAGATGTGCCGTAATTTTCCGAATGCTGCCCAATCGAGTTGAATCCGTCGATTGACCTCTCGGTCGAAGTTGGACTTACCTAGTCGGACTATTTGTCCCAGGTAGACATACTCGTCAACAACTTCGAGCTTAGTGCTCCCAACAACTACCGGCATAGGTGTGACATGGACGTTAAACATGATTTTTGTTTTGTCCATGTTCATCTTAAGACCTATCCGTTGGGAGGCACTATTGAGGTCATTGAGCATAGTGCTTAGGTCCTTCAGCAATTCTGCCATAAGGACTATATCGTCGGCAAATCGAAGGTGAGTGATGTACTCGCCATTGATGTTGATACCGTATCCTTTCCAGTCCAGAAGCTTGAAAACGTCTTCCAATGCAGCGGTGAAGAGTTTCGGGGATATAACGTCACCCTGTCTTACACCTCTCTGCAATTGGATAGGTTTCGTACTCTGGTTCTGTACTCGGATAGCCATCGTAGCCCTATTGTGCAAGCACTTCAAAACTTCGATATACCGACAGTCAACTTGGCACCGCTGAAGGGACTGCAGCATCGCCCAAATTTCGACGGAATCAAAGGCTTTCTCATAGTCCACATACGCCAGACATAGTGGCAAATTGTACTCCTCGGACTTCTGTACAATTTGCCGAAGGGTATGTTTGTGGTCTGTTCGCGCCAAACACTTTCAAGGAACGAACGCGAGAGGGCGTGCGGCTCAGTGTCATACCGGTTTGACATTCGGTCGTGCGTAAAACGCCCAAGGGCAGTCGTCCATAAGCGGTGCTAACGATTGGCACGCTGTATTCTTTTAGGGAACTCGGAATAATTCGGCGCGGCCAGTAAATATACGGTCTATCAATGTGACGCGCATTCCTGCTGGAGAGCTTCCCAGGGACTCATTGTGTTTGACTCAGAATCGGCATAAGTGCATTAGGCAATATTAGCTAGTGCGGCCTCACGATATTCTAGAACTAACTGTTGCGACGCGAAACGGTAGTGACCTTTAATAAACTGTAAACTCCGTGTGCGTTTTGTGTGTTAACCCTATAACCAGCGATAGTTAGTGGCTTCTGTAAGTTAGTAAATCGTACGATAGAGTTAATTGACTGTAAACGTGACGAAAGAAGAAAGTGACTGTGGACAACCTCGAAAGGCCCCCTCAAGTTGGAGCGGTGTCGACGCTCGGGCTGCTGCCGACGGCCACGGTCTAGGTTCAATCACCATCAGTCACACCCAGATACACACCACATCACCATTCTTTCCCTTGCACTACACAACCACATGCGACCTGACCGACTCCGGAGGGACCAGTCGCCTTGGATATAGGTGAGTAAGCTTCGTCCAAATTCCTTCCGGTCGGCTGGCCGTAGTGTAACGCTCCCCCATATATTTTAGTGTAATTAGAGAGATTCCACGTGGCCACATTGAGGCTCGACCTACGTCTGCTCGGGAAGTCTTCAGCTCATGGGCCCCTGATGATTTGATCCTCTAAGGGAGCAGCCGTAGGCCGTAACAAACTGGTAGCAGAGCGCGGTTCCGGGTTCGATTCCCGGTCGATCCCGACCATAGTGTTTGATAGGCATTGAACGGTTCTGGTGGCAGGGAGCGTTGGTTTGATTGGTTTAATTTGTATCTACAATCACGCCCGTCCGTAATACGTAAAAATATTTTTTGTACGTAATAATAGAATTATTTGCCTTTGTTCTTTGTTGCTTGCCTTTTTTTGGTTAGTGGGTAGATTTGAAAAGCCGCGCCCTAGGTTGCGTAAGCGGGAGTTTTCTAGAGATATACGTCATGTAGGTAGATGGTTATTTTTACGTAATCGGTTAATTATCGTTGTCGGATAGTTGTAGTGGATTACTTATCGAAGGGTCGATTTCCGAGCTAGGCATTTTTTGTTGATCGACCGTGATGTGTATCTTCGTTTATACAGTAAGTTGTATTTGAACTAAAGAGCAGTAATGGTATTTGCGCCATTTGAATTTAACTTGATTTGATCGCACTAGTATTTGTTATTTGTTAATTCGATTTGTGCCTTTTCTTTTGTGCTAACTTGTATTTGGTTGATACGTAGTAATTCGTATTTGTGTAATTTCTATTCAACGCGATTTGATAGGAACTGCATTTATTAACTGTTAATTTTTGTTGTATTTTTTGTTTGTTATCTTTGTAGTCTGTGCTCAAGCCGCGTCGTAATTTTGCATTTAATAGTGATGACATCGCCCAAGCTACTGATCCGTTGTTTGCGGACTGAGCTACGCTGGGCCACAAGCGCCCATGCTTTGATAGGTCGACCGGATAGGGTCCATAACTTGATGAAGTGGTTCGAGCAGGTGGATGCTCGAAGGGCCGCAGTGGAGGAGGCTTACGCTGAGCTCGAGGATTCGGATGTGGAGAAGGGAGTCCTGGACTCCTGCTTCGCGGACTATGAGCAGTTCTTGTGGCTCACGGACGAGTTGATCGAGGCTGAAGGCAGGTATGCCGAGGAGGCGCGTGAAGCTCGGATGAGTGACCTGTCCAAGTCCTCTCTGAAGCAGCTTCAGCCGGAGCTGTTGGGACGACTCCCAACTCTGGACCTGCCAAAGTTCTCCGGGGTCCTTTCCGAATGGCTGACCTTCGTTGGTCTTTTCGACAGCCTAGTGGACGCCCGGAGTGACCTGACCCCGAGCCAAAAGATGGCGTACCTCCTGGCCTCACTGGAGGGGGAGGCTCTGGGCGTCGTTGGCCACTTGAGATTGTCGGACGACGCC